CAGACCAAAGATGGAACCTGGGCATCCTTGTCCGAGTATGCCGGTGGCTACCCGAAGGGCTTGTGCACGGCTTTGCTGAAGGGAGCTGAGTCTTGGCTCACCGCGAAGTCCAATGAAGCCTTTACGGAGGACTATGAGATAGATGACAACGTCCCGGACTTCATCACTGGTGAAGATTTTGTAGAAGAGGAGAAGAGCCAGCAGGAAGCGCAGTTGGATGACACATTGCGCTTCGATGGACAAGAGCCGCAAGGCCCTGAGGATGACGAACGCCACCCTGTGAGTTCAGAGACTCGCAAAGCCGTTGAATTTGCTCACCGGCAACTGGGGCATCCGACTCGAGCTGCTTTGGTCAGGATGCTGAAGTTGGGTGGGGCGAGCCAGGATGCACTGAGGTATGCAAGTCGTTTTCATTGCTCTGTTTGTGCTGCTCGCAAGCCGCCAAGTCATCCGAAGCCATCAACGGCAACGACAAGACCATTTGGATTCAATGTCCATTTGCACATCGACCTCAAGTACCTCTATGACAGTCGGAAAAAGAAGTATGTGTGCTTGAGCATCCTGGATTTGGGCACTGTCAAACATGATGCAGTGATGCTCAAGAACCGCCGCTCGGACTACATTGCAGGAAAATTCCTGAGGCACTGGGTCGCTTTGTACGGATGCCCGTCATTGATCACTCATGACCAAGGCGGAGAATTCGAGCAATCTTTCCATGCCATGATGGAGGATCTCGCAATTCCATCCCGAGTGACGGGCTCACATGCGGCATGGCAGTTAGGTGCTGGAGAGAGGCACGGTGCAACGTTGGGAGTGATGTTTCAAGCCATCGTGGACGAGCATGGCATCACAGGCTATGAAGATATGAAGAGGGCGTTGGCATGCGCAGTGATGGCCAAGAATGCACGATCACGAAAGATGGCTACACTCCAAACCAGAGAGTTTTTGGAGTAGAACATCGCTGGCCGAGCCTCACTTCTGAGGACGTTGGCTTGAGCTTTGTACAAGGTCTGACAACAGACAGTGAAGTGGCACGGGCACATAAGATGAGGACAACGGCTCGCGTGGCTCTCATCAGACAAGATGTCAGAGACAAACTACGAAGGACCCTGCTTCGCAAGCCGCCTACATCACCCGGACCTTTCGTGCCAGGAGCTCGAATCTATTTCTGGGTTCCGCAGTTCAAACGCTACACCAGCGGCCGGGGACAATGGAGGGGTCCAGCTACTGTGCTTGTCCCTGAGCAGCAGAAACGCTACTTCGTGAGTTGGCGTGGCAGGCTCCTGCTGTTAGCTCAGGAGAATATGAGACTCGCCACTCCAGAAGAGCTCGCATTGTCCGAGCCGGTCAAGGAGGACGTCCTGGACATTCAAGAGTTATTGAGAGATCCGACTCGCTCGAACATCTACCAGGACCTTCGTGCTAAGCCACCTCCTCCAAGGCCAAGGAAGAAACGGCAACCGAGACCTCCAGAGGATCCTCAAAGGTTGCGCGCCAAGAACATCTTGCGAGGCACAAAGGCCGTTCGACGACTTCTCATGCAGCGGCCGGGAGCTTCTCAAATTCCATTGCGCAGGAAGCGCAAAGAGTTGAATCCACCTGTCCAACAAGGACTACCAGATTCAGGAGCTCCTCCCTTGGCAGAAGCTGTGGCAGCGCCACCTGAACCAGCACAGCGTGCTACACGGCGTAGGCTCGCCTTAGAGGATGCTTCCTCACCTGTGGCAGCGCCACCACCATCATTGCCCTTGGCCGAGCCAGGACCTTCCGAAGCGGCGCCTCCATCTTCAGGAGGAGTCCCGCAGTCAGGAGAAAATGTGCCGATTCCAACGGAATCCGAGAGTTCAAGCACTTCCGAAGAACAGTCGCCACCAAGATCTCAGCCATCGAGGCCTGCAGCTGTGGCACCAGGATGGGAGAACATGCCACCAGCGGAAAGGAGGCAACGTCTGACGGATGATGTGCCTTATAGCATTAAGAGGAAGTTGCAGTCACCAACCACATCAGAGCTGCCGCTCAAGAGATCACGACCAAGTACTGCCCTCTTTATGCAAGTGTTGGCATCGACGGTGTCACCAGGTCCACGGAACGAATGGCTCACTCGGTATGAAGTTGAATTGCTACGGCAACTCACAGGCCTTCCCATTTCATCAGCTCGTCTGCATCGGCACCCGAGAAAGAAGTTCATGAAGCCACCACGGAAGCGGGCACGGGTGACCATTCTGATGGGAAAGGAGCCAGATAATGTGTTCATCGTGGAGGAAAGCCCAGAAGAGACTTCACAACATCCACGACGAAGAGCCCCATTCGCCTGGAGGGGAATGACGTTCTTTTTGAAGGAGTCTCCATCACCGACGGCAGAACACAACACCTATGTCCAACTGCCGGATGGCATCTATGAGGCCAAGTTGAGCTCAGAAGAGCGCCGTATCTTTGAGCATCTTTGGATGGAGGACCTGCATGACCATTTGCTGGCAGAGGTCATGTTGCTGAAGCTCAAACAGAACGGCAAGGAACTCGACCCGAAATATTTCGACGACAAAGAGAGGAAAGAGTTCCGTGATTCCGATGCAAAAGAATGGCAGCAATGGGTTCGCAACCATGTGGTGAAGCGACTGTCCAAGGACGAGGAAGCCAAGATCCCTCGCCATTTGATCTTCAAGGCACCCTTGAGGATGGTGCGAGTCAACAAGCAGACCAAGGCACTGGCACCCCTGATCGCGAAGTCTCGCTTGGTGGTCCCAGGACACAGAGACCCAGGCCTTGGCTACTTCCGGAGCGACAGTCCCACGGCTACCTTGCAGGCTGTGAGGATATCCAAAGCCATTGCGGTTCGCAACGGCTGGAAGGGCTGGTCATTTGATGTGACAACAGCCTTCTTGTCTGGAGAGAACTTGCAGCGCAACGTATACGTACGTGCTCCAGAAGAAGGGCTGCCAGCAGTTGATGATGAGCCGGCTGTTCGAGGAGGAGAGCTCATGCAAATCCTTCGCTCAGCCTACGGCTTGGTTGAGAGCCCACGACTCTGGTATTTGCGGGCCAGCAAACTGTTGACATCCACACCTCTCCAAGAACTGCCCATCAGCAAGAGCAGCTTTGTAGCGTCAGAAGACAGCCAAGCATGGGCGCTGCTCAATTTGCATGTTGATGATGGCCTCCTATTTGGTTCAGAGGAGGACGGCAGGTTTCAAAAGTTGAAGAAAGACATTAACGCCATGTTCACCATCAAGGAGTGGAAGACGATTCCACTGACTTTCTTGGGCGTGGATCTCAAGGAGTGCAAAGGTGAGCTCTACGACGACATGTCAAACTATATCAACAAGATATCCCTGCCAGACTTGAAGCCAGAGGCCAAGAAAGAGACACCGCTGAATCCACAGCAGCTGACGGCATACCGACAACTGGTGATGCGCTTGAGGTGGCCGGGACAACAATCCATGCCGCAACTCCTGTACAAGGTCAGCAAACTGGCACAGCATGCCACCAAAGCGACAATGGGGGATTATCAGGAAGCCCTGCGTCTCTACGAGGAAGTCAAGCAGGAAGCCCAGGAGGGCCGGGCAATTTTGCCCTATCCCCGCATCGGTGGCAAACTCTATGTGGTCACATTCTTCGATGCTTCGTTGGGCCGTGAAAAGGACGGAAAGTCCCAGCTTGGGGCGGTGCACTTCTTGACCAATGAGAAGGTCGCCCACGGTCCACAGCCGGCTGCAGTCATGGACTACACAAGCAGCAAGAGCAGCCGTGTTGTCAGAAGCTCAATGGCTGCGGAATCCTGCTCGTTGAGCTTGGCAGTTGATAGGCACCTCTATGTCCGCCTCATCGTGGACATGATGGTCCATGGAGTCTTTGAGGTTGGAGCTGAATGGCGTGCATGACTCAGGATCGGTGGCGGCATCGTGACGGATGCCAAATCGCTATACGATCATATGTGCACGACCGGGCAGGTACCTTCGGAGCGTCAGACGATGCTGGACCTCTTGGTCGCAAAGGACCTGCTAGAGCAGGAGGTGTTCAAGCTGTATTGGGTCCCCACGCATAGGCAGCATGCTGACGGCCTGACCAAGGCCATGCGCAATTTGCTGTGGGAAGAGTATCTCAAGAAGAAGACCATCAGCTTGAAGGAGACAGCCGAAGAGAAGGCCATTGAAGACAAGCGGAAGGAGCTTCGGAAGGGGCAGAGAGAGCGCCGCAAGGCACGCTCCAAACTGATGGTGGCACCATCAGCCCTGGCTGAGCCAGTGGGCCGTGGCAGCGCCACCCCGAATTCGCTATATCAACACACCAACACCTTTCTCTCCCAATGTGGAGATTGACAGAGGGTGGTGCGCTGTGGTGTGTTGTGTGCATGTTGCTGCAATCCGCAGCTTGATCAAGCCGCTTGCAGGCAAAAGCTTTGCGTTCGGCGGCGCCGTTTCTTTCGTTGAGCCCAATTCACTCCGCAGTTTTTTCATGTCTCTTAGTTGGGCGTTTGCCAAACCTTCGTGCCATCTCCTTCATGCCATGGCTAGCTTGGGATATGACCTGGAATCAAAGACAAAGCACCCGTGCTCTTCCAATACCAAACACACACACAAACACAGAGACAGACACACATTGACAGTCCAGCCAAAAGTCTATAGTCTGTATAATTAAAGATAAAGAGGTCGAAAGTAGCTTATGATGTTGTTTTCTTCAGTTAGATGATGTAGCAGGCCCCAAGCTAAACAGCAGCTGAAAACGGTGCAGCGCTAGTGACAAATCTCACAATTTGGTGCCAACACTTGTTTGGTCCATGTTTCCTTCAGAAACCAGTTGTGTGTGCCCAAAGTAAAGACTTCTGTAGCGGGATGTAGTGGGCCCCCATGAAAAGAAACAATAACACGGCGGAACGAGCCATTTTGGGGGGCCAGAAGACCTTCCGACCAGATCCATCAGGCGTGCCAGACACCTGAACGTCGGTGGACTGCCGCCCGACTGCCGTGGCTGCCCGCGGACTGCCGCGGTCACGCCCGGTCGAGGAGGTGATGAACCGCCTCATGGGCGTTGGCCACGCCTTGGCGTGACCGAGGCATGACCGAGGCAGGGGCGAAGCTTTTGAAAGAAGGGATCCACTGGGTTGAGAGATGCAGGCAAAAGCCCCTGGGTTGGGCTGAAGGTTGTTTTTTTTATTTATGTTATTGATTCTTTTCTATTTGTAAGTCAGTGTTTCCTGTTTTCTATGTACAGGGCTCAGGTTGAAGACCATTTCTGTGACAAAGACCGCATCCAGGAATGTGCAAACGAGGATCGCATCCCAGGCACATCCTTCCTTTCCGAAAGACGGAGAAGATGTGGAACATGCCAAGATTAATTTTGCTTCGCCAGTGCTTTACCTCCAAACTCTTGGTGTTTCACCAGTATCTGCCACGCACAGGAAGGTGGAGCTTTGAATGGTGAAGCGAAGGGTTGAGCCACAAGTGCTGATCCGCGGGAGGGCATGTCTCAACAGAAACGCGTGCGCGCACCTAATGGATCCGAATATATGGGCACGCATAGATAGGGGAGACCCCTTCAAAGACTCCCTGGCCGGAAGACTACAGAGCAAAATCCATTGGTTGGGGGTCTCTCTACTTCCACGTGAGGAGGTACCCCAGTGGTACAGTGGTGCACGGTCAGGAGATCCAGTGAGATCCCATTCTTCTTGAGACATGCTCATACCCATACGTTGTACATAGTTTTTTTTTCATGCTTTTTGGAGGGTCTCTGTTCCAAACAGAAGGACACCATCATTGTGAGCGGTGCCTCCAGGGCTTGTCTTTGAGCGTGGTTCAGCTGTTTGGAACAGGTCATGGCAAGCAGTTAGACCGTAGACACTGCAAACTCTGCAAACAGTTAGAATATCTGGTCAACGCGATCTTCAGGATGATTTGCTGAACAGTCTTGGTTCCAAGAAACACTGCAAACTGGTTCGGGAAGATTTTCCTTGTTTGGGTTCCATGCTGGTGAGCTTTTGCTGGGGGCTTTGGCGATCGTGAGATCCCAACCGGGCGCCCTGGGCGCCCCGGGCGTTTGGAGAACCGCTGAGGGCCATCGTGAGCAAATGATCTTCCATGCAGCCGAAGAACGGCCGCGCTTGGAAATTCTGGGACAAAGGAGAGGGATATGCGGAGCCTTCATTGGGTGAGAATCACGACTGAAAGGATACGGAGTGCCAGACAGAAGTCATTGCTTTATTTTATTGTATTTCTTTCGAACAGACGGTACAATCGCTGCAGCACATTCCAGTCTTCCACATCGACACCTCTCCCTTTGGCATCGCCAGGCCTGGTGTAGAGCCCAAGGCTGAGGTGGAAAGATGACTCCTTCATTGGCAATTGGAACACCGATTTCTACCCTTCATATCCCTTCATACCTTTAAAGGTTCAGAGACCGACATCCTTTTAGTGCTGATCCTTTTTGGGGATGAATTTCAAACCTCATGCCCATGGGCCCCCGTTTCACTCAGACTCTTCTTCTTCGTGGTTTCTAGGTTCAACGAGGGGTTCGTCGGCAGCGAGTCACCTTTTTGTGGGAAGACATGGGTGGCAAACAATCAGATGAATGACCAGCGCTTTCTGCGATTCCTCTTTTGGCCTCAGCCTGTGCAATGCCTAGCGTGGTGTTTGTGCCATGAGCGGCGGGAGGGTCGGCCTGCCATGCATCGCCCTCAGTGCCTCCTCGCCGAAAACACCCGAGAAAATACGGTCGGTGAACTACCAAACTACATGATGTTTGGCAGATTTCATAATTTTTTGTGACTTCATGCATATAAATGTGGGGAGTGCACCCAGGCTCTCCGGACACCTTTTCAAGAGGTTTTCTGGGACCTCCAACTGTCCGACTGCGACGGTCTGGTGGTATTGGAGCGCCCAGGCTTCGCCTGAATGCGCAGGCGCGGGCGGGCCGTCTTTTTGGGGGCAGGCGTGGGGGTGGAACCAAACGCATCAAAAAGTCAGCTGGTCAGAGAGTATGACTCTTAGTAAGTCTTAGTAGATGCGGAATCTGGATGAAGACTCCGACATCTTTTTTCAGATATCGACAGGGCTTCTTCTGTCGTTCACGATTCAATGACAGGATCCATTCGAGAGGACCGGTCAAGTTCGAAAGGAAAGGTGGCTCGCTTTGCCACCGTGGATTTGTGGATGAGAAGGAAAGATGAGAGCGACATGTGACCAATGTAACCTTTCCAATCAAAGAGAGACAGGACACCCATGATTTGCCCATCAAATCTAGCGGGCTATTCAGTGATGGGCCAATCCAACACATCCGCTGGTCTTCACACATTTGTCCCCAAGTCGCTCTACACTATGACTCACTAACATGGAAAATGGATGAGATTTTTTTTTTGGAAGACTACTATCCTTTACGAACAGGGTGTGAACTCCACTTCCATGTGATGTGTTCGTCCGAGGGTATATAAGGACTTTTTTCCATGGTTTGGTCGGGCCAAGGCTGTCCTCGCACATCCACTGGGCCCACGAAATTCACTCCGCCATGGTGAATCCCTTGAACAGCGAGTCTTTGGGACCGAGAAATCATCGAGTCCGCCCCCTCGAACAGCATCCGGAGACCTCCAGTTCCTCCAAGAGATCTATCGTCTCAGCAGTTTCGGTTTACATTCTGCATGAGATGGACGACATGGGACGTGAACAAGCCACTTTTGATAGGAACCATGGTATCGCAAGGGGCTATGGCACCGGCTTTCATGTGAGTCAAAGTCTACTGCCCAGGATTCCAACCACGTATTGATTGAATGGCCTTTGCCGACCAACCATTGTTTTACTGAGCACTTTTTATGCTACAACACTCAGGTCAACCAAATTAAAAAAGAGGTCTTCGAAGGCTAGGGTACTTTCTTCTCGAACATGAATCCTTTCGAAAACCCACTCGGCCCTTTCCCGAACATGCCCCGCTCTCGCTCTCGCGATGTGTCTCGCTCTCCAACCTCCCTCCCGGCAGGGAGCGTCCCGGTGACAGATGTGACAGTGTGTTTGCCCAGTGGTCGATCCGTGAGTCTGTCGGCAGCCAGCTACATCTGGGAGCTCAAAGAGGCTGCAAGAAAAGCTTTCGGACTCGAAGCTTTGCAACTCTTCTTGGATGGGCAGTTGTTAGATGTAGCATGGTCCCTGGAAGATGCAGGCCTTCGGACTGGAGACACCTTGACGGCAGCGGTGGTGCAAGCGCCGACCGTGGCGGCCACGCATGCGGCGTTTGCTCTGTCGCATCGTGGGAGTGGCGTGATCAGCTGGGGTGATCCAGCGTGTGGAGCCGACAGCAGCGGAGTCCAACAACAACTGACGAATGTGAAAGACATCCAGGCCTCGCAGTATGCTTTTGGAGCAATCTTGTTCGATGGCTCCGTTGTGACCTGGGGGGATCCAGAGTGCGGGGGTGACAGCAGCAGTGTGCAAGCGAAGCTGCGAGATGTGGTGAAGATGCAGGCTTCACGGGGCCAGCTCGGATCCTCCACCTCCACGTGGTGGCCCTGGGCCCTTCTTGACGAGGAAGGGTGCGAAGTTTAGAGGATCCACACTCCTGGGGGAGTGACAAATGAGGGCGCCTGGCTATGGTCGTGCGCTTGGTGCCGGATGGGTTTGTTGCGACCTTGTGGGGCTGACGAGTCCGTGGTTTCTGCTGCTTTGTCTCTTCCTTTTCGGTCTTTGACTATGGGATCTTCTTTGGAAGTTTTGGGCTTTTCACCGTGAATTCGCACGTACTTTGTTACGTGGAGCTGGACTGGTTGGATCGTGAGGATCCCGCTGCCTTTGCATACGTTTCACGTCATGGACATTTTGTTCGTGGATGGCTTCTCCACTGACTTGAACTTCGGCACGTCTGTCGACCTGCATGGTGCTTTGCCGTCTTGGCCGCGGCTTGGCTTCGGCAAGTGATCCGGGTCGGGTGTTCTGTGGTCTCTCCACCGATCACCGCCAGGCAGTTCTGTGGTAGTCTTGCCTGACTTTGTGTTGGGTCCACCTTATCCTTCGCGGCCCATTGACTACGTGGGTCAGCATACCTTACGCTTTGCCTTTCTGGCATCGGCGTGTCGATGTTGCACGACTTTGTGTGCTGATAGCAATTCAAGGGCTACAGCACCTACAACTCCATATATATAGATGCAGGCTTCACAACAAGCCTTTGCGGCCATTTTGGCTGATGGAAGGATTGTTACCTGGGGTGAATCTGGCTTTGGAGGTGACAGCAGTCCGGTGCAAGAAGAGCTGAAGAACGTGCAAGACATCCAGGCCCCGCTTTGCAGGATTGCCCCTTCTGTCAGGGTAGACTCAGACCGTCTTGGATCCACTTGGTGTGGCATTGTGAGCATTTTCGCGACTGTAGGCCGTCTAGGCCCCGTAACCCCCTCACCGCTAGGTTTGGTTGGGCCTCTGGCCCGGCAGATTCGGCTGTCATGGATCATCTCACTAAGGTGCAGGAAGCCGTGTGGCGTCTTCGCCACGGGGAGGAGCGTTGATGCGCAGCTAAGGACTTTGCGTGCTGATAGCAACTCAAGGGCTACAGCACCTACAACTCCATATATATACATCCAGGCTTCGCAATATGCCTTTGCAGCAATTTTGGGGGATGGAGCTGTGGTTACTTGGGGTGATCCCAGATTTGGAGGGAACAGCAGTGAGGTCAAGTGTCAGCTGAAGAATGTTCAAAGGATCAGTGCTTCCTACTATGCCTTCGCTGCCATTTTAGCTGATGGATCTGTTGTCACCTGGGGTGATGCCCAGTGCGGAGGTGACAGCCGCCGGGTGCAACAGCAGCTCAAAAACGTGCAACAGATTCATTCGACGCAGTACGCTTTTGCGGCGATCCTGATGGACGGACATGTGGTCACATGGGGCCAGCCCGATGCTGGGGGTAGCAGCCACAGAGTCCAAGGGATGCTGAAGAAGGTGCAAGGGGGGGTCGCTCAGAAGGGTCAGTTGGCCAAACACCAATGGGTTCGACCCGTCCTTCGCGGCGCTGGAGATCCTTTGGCTGGTGAGTCTTTACGGCGGGCCAGGCGTCGCCTGGCGAGACTTCATGAGCTTCGGCAGTTTATTTGCCGTAGGGGGTATGTTCCACTTACTTTGTTTCACAAGCTTTGGAAAGGGTCGGCAGTTCCGACCTCTGCCCAGGACATTCTTGCGATGGCTCAGACCGAAATTTCGGAGCTTCAAAGGTTGCAGTCTAGGATGGAAGCCCAGCTGCGTGACCGTCGCTTGCGTGAATGGAAGGCTTCTCTGTCTGAGGGTACCTTTGGCGCCTTAGGCAAATGGATTAAGGGCAAACAAATGGTCTGTCGCAAGGTCACGCTCGTTCAGCAGGGTGTTGAAGCTGAAACGCATGAGCAGTCGGCGCGATTCATCCGCGAACATTGGGAGAGTGTTTGGAGCGAGGGTAGGCTTGCGAATCCTGTGCTTAGTCGTCAGCTGGCTTCTGACTTTGGGTGCCGCCCTGCGGGTCATTGGGTTGGTCCGTCGGCCTCTGATCTTCATCGCGCGCTGCTGCATTGCAAGGGTTCTGCCGGGCCTGACCAATGGCACAGCGCTGAGGTTAAGCATCTGCCTTTTGATGCAGTGCAAGTTTGGTGGACGCTGACTCAGAGGTGGCTTAGGTCTGGGTCGGTGCCTATGCAACTCACTGAGAGCAGAATGGTCAACCTGGCCAAGGAAGGTAAGGTTTCTGGTGATGGGTCTCTTGATCCTGCTGCTACTCGCCCTATTTCCGTGTTGTCGGTTTTTTGGCCTGCCTTTGCCGCTGCTCTGCTTCAGACCGAGGATGTTCAAGATTGGGTGAGCCAGTCTCTTGATGAGAGGGTTGCTTGCAGAAAGGCGGGTTTGACCACTGAAGCTTTGATCGCCCGCTTACAGGCGCTGTACGCTGATCAGGATGGCTACATTGTTTCCCTGGACTGGTCTGCGGCTTATGACCGCTTGTCTCCGGTAATCTGCTGTCAGGCGCTTACTGACTGTGGTTGGGATCCTCGTTTCGCTACGCTGCTTCAGGCTGTTTGGGCGAATCAGGTTAGGTGGGTTCAGTGGGGGGCTCACACCAGCCCTACTCCGCTCCCTTCTGGGCGCGCTGTTCCGCAAGGCTGTCCGATCGCCCCGACTATCTTAGGTTTTGTGGCTACCGCTGGCCTACGGAAGGTTGAGTCTAACCTTGGTCATGATGCTGTGAGCGTAGCTGTACTTCCATTTACATGGATGACAGAACTTGGTGGGCTAAAGATTGGCATGAAGTTGGTCCTCGCGTCCAGGAATGGGCTCGGTGGTCCGACTCTATCGGTTTAAAGGAGAACGATCGCAAGACTCAGGTTTGTGCGCGGCGTTCTTTTGACAATGACCCTTGCCCGCCTGAGTGGAAGGTTTCTGAAGTCAAAGCCCTTGGGGTCTCTACCACGTCCAAAGTTCGTAAATATACGATTGGTGAGCAGGAGAGATTGGACAAGGCTGAGAAGGCTGCTTCGCTGTTGGTTGGTGCGTCTCTGCCTTGGACTAGGGCTGTGGAAGCTTTTAGATGCTTCGTCTTGAGCATTGGGGCTTATGGTTGGGTCTGTAGGTCTCCCACCCTCACGTCCGGTGATCGCCTCTTGAAATCTTTCAGGCGTGTTGTTGGTGGCAAGACCCGAATGGCTAGTAAATGGCTTCTCATGCTCTTTTTCGGTGGATCGCTTCATTTGGTAAGTGCGGTGATCCAACGGCTGTGGGGTACACTAAGCAAGCTTGACTTACCTTGGTGCAACTCTTACGCTTCGCCTGTTGGTGTGCTTCGTAGGCAATTGAAAGGGATTGGTTGCAGTGAGGTGCGCCCTTGGACGTGGCGTTGTTACAGCGGTGTCGAGGTGCAACTTTTTCGGTCTTCTGACCGTCGAACACAGGGTCTCTCTGCTCAAAGGCATGAATTGAGAATGCAGTTTCGGTGGCACGCTTTCGTTCAGTGGCTTCGCTGTCAAAGACATGAGGTCACGCAGCTTTTGCAAGATCATTCAAAAGAAATCTTGGAGCAGTTTTTTCGCTGTGTCGATATTGGCTTCACACGTAAGCGTATGGATACGGACTCTACCTTTAGGCATGTTGCTCTGGGGGCCTCTGTGTCCCCGGCTTTGTATGACCCCGCTTTGCAGGATTGCCCCTTCTGTCAGGGTAGACTCAGACCGTCTTGGATCCACTTGGTGTGGCATTGTGAGCATTTTCGCGACTGTAGGCCTTCCAGGCCCCGTAACCCCCTCACCGCTAGGTTTGGTTGGGCCTCTGGCCCGGCAGATTCGGCTGTCATGGATCATCTCACTAAGGTGCAGGAAGCTGTGTGGCGTCTTCGCCACGGGGAGGAGCGTTGATGCGCAGCTAAGGACTTTGCGTGCTGATAGCAACTCAAGGGCTACAGCACCTACAACTCCATATATGGATCCAGGCTTCGTACCATGCTTTCGCGGCGATTTTGGCTGATCGATCGGTTGTGACTTGGGGTGCTCCGGCATATGGAGGTGACAGCCGCAGGGTTCAGCACCAGCTGAAGAATGTGCAACAAATAGCAGCTTCGTGGGGCCAGCTCGGATCCTCCACCTCCACGTGGTGGCCCTGGGCCCTTCTTGACGAGGAAGGGTGCGAAGTTTAGAGGATCCACACTCCTGGGGGAGTGACTAATGAGGGCGCCTGGCTATGGTCGTGCGCTTGGTGCCGGATGGGTTTGTTGCGACCTTGTGGGGCTGACGAGTCCGTGGTTTCTGCTGCTTTGTCTCTTCCTTTTCGGTCTTTGACTACGGGATCTTCTTTGGAAGTTTTGGGCTTTTCACCGTGAATTCGCACGTACTTTGTTACGTGGAGCTGGACTGGTTGGATCGTGAGGATCCCGCTGCCTTTGCATACGTTTCACGTCATGGACATTTTGTTCGTGGATGGCTTCTCCACTGACTTGATCTTCGGCACGTCTGTCCGACCTGCATGGTGCTTTGCCGTCTTGGCCGCGGCTTGGCTTCGGCAAGTGATCCGGGTCGGGTGTTCCGTGGTCTCTCCACCGATCACCGCCAGGCAGTTCTGTGGTAGTCTTGCCTGACTTTGTGTTGGGTCCACCTTATCCTTCGCGGCCCATTGACTACGTGGGTCAGCATACCTTACGCTTTGCCTTTCTGGCATCGGCGTGTCGATGTTGCACGACTTTGTGTGCTGATAGCAATTCAAGGGCTACAGCACCTACAACTCCATATATATAAATAGCAGCTTCGTACTGTGCCTTCGCTGCCGTGTTGGCTGATGGATCCGCTGTGGCCTGGGGTGATCCGGCATATGGAGGTGACAGTGGCGACGTGCAACATCAGCTCAAGGGTGTGAAACAAATCCAAGCTTCGTTGGAGGCCTTTGCTGCAATTTTGAACAATGGATCTGTGGTCACGTGGGGTGATGCGGAGTCTGGGGGCAATAGCCGGATGGTACAAGACCAGCTGAAGAATGTGCAAAGCATCCAAGCTTCCTGGCATGCTTTCGCAGCAATTTTGGCCAATGGATCCGCCGTTACCTGGGGTCGGTCAGACTTTGGAGGCAACTGCGACAGCATTCGAGACCGTTTTCAACAGCTTTGACATGGTGGAAAATATTGGGATGATGAAAGGAGGCGGAGTCCCTTGCTTATGGCGTGTGACTTGTGATATATATATATATAATCCCCCTGGGAATAAACCCTATAGAATGAGGAGCTCGAGCCCCAAGACCAGGGGTCATTTTATAGGGGCCCAAGTGGCCACGTTTTGCTATAGAATGAAAAACATGCACACACATATAAGATCATATAAGTGATATGTTTGAGCTCTGAACATAGTTATGGAACATGTTTATATTTTATAGTGACTTTTGGTGGTCATGTTTTGAACCAGGCAAAGGCAGGTTTTAGATTTTATAGTGTTATGATTTTATAGTGAACATTATTTAGATGTCCATGTTTTCGTTTTATAGACTTTGATGTTTGGTAGGGAATGCAACTCATAGAGGCATCATTGGCTTGTGTGAGTGTGTGTTTTCATTTTATAGAGATGTGAGATGATGTGAGCGTGTCTTGGTTGCTTCTGCAAAACATGGGCATTTTTGGCTGCGTGTAGTGGCAAGCTAGCCCATGAAGACCAGAAAAGTGAAAGCAGAACCATTCTTTCCTCATGAATCCTCATGAATCAAAGAAATGAACATCTGTCAACAATCATCAACAATCTCCAAGAGTAAAGATTTTGATCAGAATCAGCCAGAGATTTGGCCGATTCTATGCTTCTGGGCCATGCCAGCACCTCCAGATTGTCAGGTCATGTTTTTCATTTTATAGGACCTTCATTTTGTGACCCCCTTTAAAAGTACACTTAGATGGCCCACCCTGAGCCCCAGGTTTTATAGTATTTTCTGTGGGGTAGGCTTGTCCTATGAAGTCATTTTATAGTGGTGCACTGTGGTCACCAAGGGTGGGTTATGACTATAAAATGCCAGGCCCAACACCTACCTGTAGTTCCCACGGGGATTATATATATATAATAAATATATATATATTATATATCATGTTGACTTATTGTGTACTTTACGTATACAAACAAATATGTGTCAAGGTAAATGCCCGTAGGGCAGGAAGTACACATTGGAGACTTGAAAAGCACAAAACTCCAAGTGATATCCTGCAAATGAAAAGGTGAGCCTGTAGAAGAAAGTCCTTATGTTGGACTCACATACCTTAGTAATTAGCCGATACATTCCTTTTTCACCCTCTGCCAAAGCCTTTCACGGGGTATCATCTCCATCGAAGAAGACGTCCCCGCCACAAATAGTCAAGGGTTCACCAGGTAAGTGAACTCGTCATCACTAGGATGCCTATGGTTCCCATGATCATGGGCGTCCATGAAGGATCAAACCTAGGGTTTTTGAGACCTCATATGGAATGGATGAAACAGGGTTGTTCAACTGTTCTAGGACTCCGTCGAGAAGATCCATCGCCAGGCGTCCAAGGCCCTTCCGCCCATCACTCAGCTTGAGGCCAGCTTCAGGGGCCGTGTGGGATGGGCCGACTTCGATCCAAGTGAGAATCCAAAGGGGAAAAGTAGTGGGAGTCAAATCCACGTCAAGACCTCGAGATCGGTGTTCAGGTGTTCAGGTCGACAATTCTGTCCATGAGGTGAGCATCTTCAAAAACAACATTTCCATTCAAGGGAAATGGCGCTGTGCCGCTGGGAAAACTTGATTGCAAGGACTTTGCTTGATTGGTTGTCACCCAAAAGTCGTTTCTCCTGACATCCCTGTGACTTGTCTTTGGCCGGCCCCTCGCACCTCTAAACGATGTTTGGTGAACAGGTTCATACACCCTCAGAAGGTCGGGCCGACGGGTCGGACGACCTGGCCGAGGCCCGTTTTGATTGGCAGAAAAGAATCTTGTTCATAGTAGCTACTGGCTCCTAGTAGTACGGCCAGGAGCCCCTAGTAGCATCCTTGCTCCTAGTAGCGATGCCAGGAGCCCCTAGTAGCTTCTTGTTCATAGTTCATGATTTTTGGCCATCGGGTTTTGCTTTGGCCTCCGAAGTGTCCCCTCTGAACACGAACGGGCGAGTGAAATTTTTCGACAACCACAAGCGCGGGGACCACCACCTGTGTCACTGTACAACATCTGTGCAGCATCCCCAGTTTGTTTTTTTTTCACTATCTTCCTGATTGAAAGCGATCACCTTCGGGCCTTGGAGGGCAGCGGGAGTGTATTGGAAGCCTCCAACTGCCACATTCGATCTCTCCTAAAACCTATCAAACCCATCAGTGCGCTTGGCGTGCACGTGGTGTGCGCAGCGTGTGCCAGGTCTTTTCCGATGGAGAAGGCACACCTGGGGGGTGGAATTGCACTGGACCTTGCAGAGATGTGGAGCTATGGAGACGTGGACTTGAATCTAAAGGCAAAGAATCAAGAAGAAAAGCAATAGTAACCCACAGGATATAGTATATATGTACAGTATATAGTTATATTCTATAAAACATTGTATATATACATTTATTTTATAATATATATATATATATTATATTTGTCCTTTCGCCAGTGGGTGAATTGATTGCACCCTTTCTTGGAACCATGGCCATGATGTCAGGTGAAGCTTGGCTGTCAAAGTATGTCAAAGTGATCATCATAAGTGATGCTCCATTATGATCCCTCGACAGCCAAAAGAAATTGGTCACGGCTAAACCCACGGTTTCCATAATGAAAGGACAATAGAAGTATTGCGCAACACCTGCTTTCTAGGTTCTATCCTGCTCACCCACAAGGATTCCGAAAAAAATATCACCCACGTGGATTCTTCCAGTGACCCTTGCCACTTGGAGTTGGATGTTGAAAGACCAATCGACATGGTGAAACATCAGTTCTCCGTGTCACCATTTCCACCATTTCCGGGATGGTCTTGAATGGTAGGATTCCCGACAAAAATCCATGAAACAGCAGTTAAAAGTGCATGACTACTAGTAGCAAATTGCCGTAATGCCCTTGTTATAGGCAGGGCTTCAGGCTCCACCCAGTCAGAGGCCTTCAGACTCCACCAGTCCCGTGACCGAGACGCACCGGCGACCGCAGGTTGGACCGTGACCGAGCGGCGGCGCTCGAACAGTCACCGGCCGAAACGCACAGGTTGGACCGAGGGCACCAGGGAAAAGCAGGTCGTTGGTGATTTAGCTGAAGAAAGGGTACTTATCGGATCCAATGGATTTCGATTTCCGGAATCTATGGCTAGACATAGCTAGAGAACCCTGCACTGGTTGTGGGGGGCTTTCATGATACACTCAGACAGGACAAGTGGATTTGGTCTAACCTGATGTCTTCTTGTCCAAGTGGTTCTGGAGGGTTTCTCACAGTGCCAGGCGCAGCTGGGTCTCCTCGCACCGAGCCAGCCTTGCATTGGGCAGCTCGGACGTGGTGCGGGGCATGCTCTCTGGGGGCGGCTCTCTGGGTGTGTGCGGGAGACGGGAGACAGGCTCGGAGACTGGCCAGTGTTGGACACTGCAAAGGGCCCTGTCCACTTCCACAGTTCCTCTACCAAGAGGGGGTTGTCCACTTTCATGATTCTTGGAGGTTAGCTCTTTGTTCACGCATCAGTTTCCTGCCACCTGTCACCTGCGGGTGTCACCTGCTGGTGTCACAGGTATATATGGCATATCGCTGAGCCCCCAGCATCTTCCAACAAACCCCTGATGGATGCCCCGAGTTCCAGTGCTCCGAGGAGAATGGCAATGCTCCGCTGGAGGCCGACCAAAGGTCGATGAGAGGTGTTGGCCCAGCTGACTGGCTCAGAAGATGTTGGATCACCAAACATCCAGTTCGATATAGTTCGATGATTCGTCATGATCTCTCGCATTTCTGGTGAAAAGGGACTGCAAGACAAGATGATGGACCAATGGACCCTCCAACAACTGTTTCTAGTGACACAGGTACCCAGACTGGCGTCCAGACATCGCCTGTTGGACGCCACCGTGTAGTCCTCCTGTCGACCGGGCGACCCATCGAGCGCGTGACGCAGACGCAGCCCTTCGCCAAGACACTATTAGAGCCGACACCGCACTTTGGCTGCAAAACCAGTTTCCGTGCATGTGTTGTTTTTGAGACGAGGAGAGGACATTCTGTGTCTGGATTTGGGTAGCTTGGCTCAGGTTTAGATCGTGATACACCAGCATGTAAAGAGAAGTGCCGAAGAATCCTGAGAGTCATCCGGTTCTCTGACGTTGTACCAGTATTTTTTGGCTTCTTCTCTCTGTTGTGAAGCACATTCCCCCCATTTCCTCTCTAAGAAGAGCCTCACCAACCCAGAACAACAAATCCACTGAGGGACTTTGGAGTGACTCGCATGACGGTGAACTTTTCCCAGCGTTACACTCCCGAAAACTCACATAGACCCTGACAATGGCCCCCTGGAAGATGGTTTTCCTCTACCAACCAGTGGTTTTCAGGGTCCATGTTCACAGGGCAGCCAAAGCACAGTAGGAGCAGTTCACCAAAGAAATGGCTAGAGTCTAGACTTCCCACCAAACTCTGAAATAAGCAACCCTTTGCTACAGGTTGATGCAGATTCCAACCTCGTTGGCGGATGTGGTGAAGATGGCGGCGGCCAAGGCGGCGTGACGGTTTTTGTGCCAGTATTTAGGGGAAGAAAGGTTTGGAGCGGGGAGAGAGAGAGAGAGAGAGACACACAGAGAAAGAGAAAGAGAGAGAGAGAGAGAGCCCATTGGCTGCATGACATTGAATGTCCAGTGATGTAGTGGCACTTTAGGTTTGGACCATGATTTTAAACCTTCTTGTTTGGGTTGGAATCCGGTGATTCTTTTTCTTGCGTGCCACAACTGTGGGGACCACCCGCCGGAGGAAGCGTTCCTGTACGGCACTTGGCATGACCAGCAAACCAAGGGCTTTTCCGGCTCATGTCTCAATCCATCACTTCAGCTTCAGCTTCGCAGCCCAAACGTTGGCCCGAAACGTCTTGGGCCCCAGGCGAAGGCGAACGGCGGAAAGCTGGTCCAGGCCACTGGACCCGTTCGTTCTGGGCGTTTTGGTGAGCCCAAAGGGACGGAAAGCTGTCCGTCCCTCCAAGAGTTGTGAGTTGGGGAGAGGCTAGGAAATATGGTTTTCATTTTTTAAAAATGATTTATGTATGAAAACATCATGAAACGCATTTATGAACAAACAATGTTTGTTTTTTACTTTATATATATATATATTTTTTTTTTGTTTTCATGAAACATGTATGATTTTAAAGTAAATTTAAACTATTGATTTCTTGATGTGCTCAACAAATCTTAAAATTTTCATTAAATCAATAACAATTTCATAAACAGTTCATAAAATAGTCATATTGTTTTTTTCATAAAACATATCATAACATTTTCATTATGATTTTTTTTCAATTTGTATAGAATCGTTAAAACAACATTTAAAAAACAAAAACATAACATGTATGAACAATTTATAAAACTTTTATGATTTTCGTATAAACAATAAATATGAAAACCATATGAAACATATGAATATTTTATGAATTTTGTTGATTTTCTGATTTGGTGAAAATCCATAAACATCATAAACACAAAAACAGTCATAAAACAATCATAAAATAATTCATAAAACAGCATACAAAATCAACAAATATCATAAAACCTTATAAAAATGAATAAAAATGAAATCTCCAAACATTGAGGACCAATTAGAGTTTTCACAATTTTCATAAAACAATCATAAAACAATAATTAATCAACTAAACAATTCTTTGGCTGTCTTCCTGACTCTCAATCCAAGAGGTCGTGCACTTCAAAGAGCGCGGCATTTCCAACTGTGTTGACTTGGTGGGGGCAGACGGCTTTTGACAGGACCAATCATTGGGGGTGTTTTGGAGGGTTTTTGGTGGGGGTTCCCTCATCTTGGGCTTCCCATCTTCGGCCGGGCTGGGACGAGTTCCTCAGTTCCCTCCTTGTGGGAGAAGGGTTCGATGGAGACCGAGATGACACCGCGCTCGCCCATCCCCGAAGCGGGCGGTGGCCGTGAAACACTTCGTTTCTGGGTGAGGACCAGGACGTGGTGGAAGAAGATGCAGGCGAGAGACCGTGGGGTGGTAGCTGGGAAGGGAACAAGCTTTTCCCCCAGCAATACAAGTAGCTGCTTGGTGCATGGGCCATACAGGAGTCATTGACGGTCCTGATTCTTTGGACCAGACATACTGTGCCTTTTCTTGCCTTAGCCAGGATTCTTCGATGGTGTGGTGGCTTTGGACATAAACATCAAAATGACCCGTGCACTCCCGCTTGCTGTAGAGCCAGGGAAAATCGAAATCCCTCGAACCCCACAAGCCTATGGCTCGAAGTCTAGAAGTCTTCAATTGCTTGCTCTCAGGCACAAATCCTACTTTCCATGGTTGTCCATTCACAAACCAGATCTAGGTTAGTCTCTGTCTCTATAGATCTGATCTGGTGCCTTCACCAAAACAGGACCTCTAATCTACTGGTGATGTTTGGACCAACACTGGGAGGGCTTCGACGTCAGGCCAGTCACTGCGATCGGCTCGGCAGGTCCCCCTGAGGCTGCGGAGGGCACTGCAGGCGGAGGCTGGGACTACCAGGACCGCGGGGGGATGTTTCGTGGACACCCCCTTCACCATCATCCTTAACCTCTAAAGGTGTAGACACCTAAACCTAGACACCCCTGCAAAACAGGGGGTTCTGGCATTGACTATGGCTCCCGTGGTGCAATTGAGTCACCAGATCACCGGCTACGGTGGGTTGACGGTGGTTTTCTACTCTGAGCCATTTCCCGTTCCTCACAGGTCTTCGGTCTTCGATCTTCGGTCCACGTCGCGTCGAGTGCATCGCGTGCGTCGCACGAGGCGTGGAGATGGATGGATCCAAGAAACCGAGTGGGCAGTCCATGAAGGGCAGCGCCCTGAGGTGGAGCAGTGGAGCGCCCTGACGACGTGGAGCAGTGGAGCAGTATGTTCAAATTTCATCCAATTTCCAATTCGTGCTGCAAAGGTCTCACAATAAGACCTCTGTCAGCAAATTCTGTTGGGACTGGACAATACCTGGACTCTCTTCTACCGGCCTATCGAGCAGTCCATTTGGGGAGACCGAGTAGACCTTCTCGATCCGGAGGGTTTTCATCCACTTCTTTCACGACGTGGTTCTTCCGACCTGCTGGGGATTTGCCCGTCCACCCCGTGACCGTCCGCATGTGTCCGCCCGTGTCCCGTGTGAGGAAAGACGGTCACCAACTGGTTGAACCACACCTTGGGCCAGGCGGGTCGCCGGACCGGATCCGACACCCAGCACACACACATCCCCGACCCTCCGCGTCGATGCACTGTGGTCAAAGTTTCCGTCTTTGGTCTTTTCTCGGGTCGTTTTCTGGACGCCTTTGGATCCTCAGGAGTCCGACCTCGCGGGCGCCAGAGAAGCGCCCGTCCCCGTCTGCAAGGATGAAGCACAACACCGTCCTCGTCTCGGTCCAGACGAGAAGGAACGTCTCTTCACCGTCTGCGCGGCGCGCACTCGCGGAAACGACGAGAGCTGTCGTCGTTCCGGTTTCGCGAGGCGACGCACAAGCTGGACAACGGGGTCGTGGCCAGCGCCGCTGCCAAGCAAGCGCAGGTCGGTCCGGTCCCGGACGTCTACCGAGGGCTGGTTTCGGGGTTCCGGACCTCCAAAACTCGATTCTTCTCTTTCCTTTGGTTGATTGTTTCGCAGTTGAGATTTAGTGGGTTTGGGAGTACGCTCGCTTGTACTATCCACATCGATGGGTACGGTGGGACCACAACAGCAGCGAGTCGGACTCTAAATGTAAGTCATCATCAGCAGATCATCAGCAGCGGAAGGGGTGGAGGATCTTTCTGATATTCTCGAGGGGGCCGAGAGGGGTCCACGAATGTGTTGCGAGGCGAAAGACGAGGCCGAGTCTGGTAGCATGTGGGGAAAAGCACGCAAGTGTCACGTGTGGTGAAACATCCCAGTCGCGCAGTCGATAGCGGCTTGAGCAGGAGATCTCTTGCCACATTGTTGGCCTCGCATCAGCGGTGGAACATCGAATGAACTAAGAAGAGCTCTCCAACAACCTGGACCAGATGCGAAACTGCTGCGCCCCCCTCTGATCGGCCCGTGTTCGAAGGGAGCAGCGACCGGAGGGGGTCGCTGGGACCGGTCGGACCTCGGGGGTGAACCGCTCCACCCGGGGCGCCGTGACCGGGTTTGTTTCGTTCGTGCTGAAGGGGGGGCACGGTGGAGGGTCGCCGGAGGTCGCCGGGTTCGTTTTTTTTTGGTTTGGGCCGCGCCGCAAGAATGGCAGCGCAGGGCCTCGCCCACTTCGGGATTGACCATGCGGCGCTGGAACGTTTGGGTCTGGACCATCAGGCAGGGAAGGCCTTCTAAAGGCATTGAACAACATCCAGAGCCGCCTAAGGGGTGTGTCTATCAATTACCATCAATTTTTATATACCCTTTTAGAATCTTATTACGGTTAAGGCGGCTAAGGTCCCTTAACCACCTTTTAGGGGGCTCTGGATGAAGATGGTTTGGGTCGTGTGAGGGTGGCTGTCGCCCGGATGGGATGGCTCGATCTACGGGACGGTCCTATAATTGAGGAGTGGGTTCAAAAATGGACCGTTTTCTCTATCGGTGGCCTTTCTTACACATTTCGGAGCCTCTCGTAGACAGCTGCACAGGTGGGGTGGTGGGTTGGGGTGTGCTCCACCTGGGCGTAGCGTGAGAAGCAGTGCGTCTTGATCCAGCCGCCTCGGCGCAGCGGAGAAGCCGAGCGTTTGCCCCGACCGCCCGGCCTGATCGTCCGGATCTCCTCCCCGAGGTTCTCTCCGGTTGGCACACCTCAGTTCCACGCTTTTGAGACAAGTAGACCTGCGCACGAAGTCTCGAAGTAACGAGTAAAGGGGTATTTCTCGGGGTATCCAGAAACACCACCCCCGGTGGCGATTTGGCGCTTTGATTGAGCTGTCGGCCTTTGAATTCCCCCAAAGACACGGAATTGGGCCTCTCCACCGGTCCTCCCGTGGCGCCGCTTCCGCTTCGACCGGGTTCGTCGCAGGCGGCGGACCGGGTCTACCGGGCGATGTTCGTCTACTCGCAGGGGCTCCACGCCGTGCTACAAGAGGCGGCGGTCTGGGGGGGAAGTTCGGACTTTGGAGCTGGGTATGTTGCGATGTTCCCAAACTGAGGACCAGCCAATCAGCCAGGTCTTTGTGTGCATATTCTTGCTATAGGTCTTTCAAGGTCTTCTTTTGGAGATGCTCTCATTCAACAGAAGCTTTGCGGAAGCTTTGCTACTCCCCACTCCATCTTAAATTTCGACGTGGACTTGGTGCTTCAAAAAGACTCCTGCATGGACTGCAGGGTCCGCCCGGACCGGGCTGGAAAGCTGGGCAGGCAGTGGGCCGTGCGAAGAACAGTTGGAGCGCCCTCCTGGTGCTGTGGAGGGCTTTCCAGGCTGTGCTCGAGCAGGCGATTCGGAGGGCATCACACCCGTCGAAACCTGACGGTCAGACTAAGGTGTGCAGGTGCAAGTATCGAGTCCAGCAAGTATCGGTACAGATCTCACAGTTTAGGTAGAATCAATTATCATCACCCATAGTAGGGCCTAAGCATGCATGTATATAAAACAGACTAAAGAAGAGACATTAAAGGGCTATGCTCCTGCTGGCGGTTTCATGATGCGAAAACCGCTCTCCAAAGCTGCCGGCGCACTGCCAAACGTTGCTTTCTGACGCCGGTCCAAGTAGGAGACATCTTCAAAGTCCATGATTCTTTAATACCTCACTTGGAGGAGAGCTTTCATTGCCGCCAGGGTGGTGAGGAAATCCCACAACGGAGCTTGTTATCTGACAATGAGGCTTTCGTTAGTCACACTCAGTCCATGTTGTCTTGGGTTGTTTTACTAGGGAGCACGCATGCTGAATAACGATGCTGCATAGCGATGCTGAATATGTGAAGGGCTTTTGTGGGCGTGTGCTGTTCAGTGTGCCGTTTTTACTGCCAAGTGAGGGCTTAATCAAACTCCTCATAATTTCCACATCAGTTCTAACAACATCTCCGTCTCCAACAGTTTTTCCGTACGGCAGGCACTTGGGCTTGAAGAGGCTTTTAGGTGTGAACAATTTCGGATGATTCTTCCCATAGCTGCTGGTTGTGAAGCTAACATCCATTCTCAGGCGATCTGGAGCGAGCTTAATCTTCGACAGGACTCAGCAAAAGGATCCAACAATGGTGGGCGACAAAGTGCGGGCTTCAGGCAGGCCACTTTTGAGCGGATATATCTCGTCCAGGAACCAAAGGTGTTCCTCTGACAAGCCCAATCCGCAAGTGGACCACTTGCACCTGTGGAGCAACGCCTTTCGGGGATGTGGACACCCCGATGATGCCTCCGAGTGGTTGTGGACAGGCGTCCCACAGAAATCTGTGCCACAACTTCTTGTGGCCACCCCGTTGACTGACCGCGCTCAGCCGCTGCGAAGAGAAGCCTCTGGGAGAAAGGCGTCTACTTTACGAGAGAGATCTGCAAGGGTCAAGCATTTTGCACGCAGGGAAGAAAAGTCCAAACCTCACTGGACTATGTTCTGTGAGCAGGAGGCGTTGTGTCCGCAACCCTCCCAAGGGTGTGTGTTTCCTTGTCAAAAGCATCAGAAGGGCGTCGTCCGAGCGGCCACAAAATATTCCGCTGCCACTGTGTCACCAAAAGGCTTTGACAGCCTTGGGTGTCTTTGCCATACACAGGTTAGACGCAATTTCTTTCGCCGATAACTCTGCTCACTGTGGAAAAAGTCGCGCAAGTCGAACACTTTCAGCCAAGCGCCCGTGTGAGATCGAGGCCACCTGTTTTGCGCCCCCGCCTCAAATGGACCGTGCGTCGTTGCAGTTCACCAAGGAGGTACTGATGCACTTGATTGCGTCCCAGCTGACCAACATGGGCTGTAGAACGTTTATAGTCAAAGATAGAATGCCATCCACTAGCGGCGCCGGGTGTTTGGACACACCCGGCTTAAAATGGTGTAGAATGACGGTTGCCGTCCCCTGCTAAGCATGATAAGTGTTGTACTTCTCGAGCGCATTATGTGCAAAAAAGGGGTGTCCCAACCCTGCTGAAAACAGTGTTCTTGTTTCTAGGCTAGAGAAACAATATTCTCATCACTAAGGGAGGGGGTCCCCACCCCCCTCAACTAAAAATAGTTAATCAGATGCCTCACCACCTTCCTTGGGAATATTGATTGGTGCCATGCTTAGGGTCCAACATATTGGTGGAGTGGCGTGCCTCCAAAAGTCGCGCCTGAGATTGCTGCAGCGCCTGCAGGGCAAGCCGGAGGTGTTCAGGATGCAAAGGCAAAACCCAAGGCCAGAGTCAAGGCCTCCGCAGCAACAGTCCAGGTGAGACCTGGAATGACTTTGGGATGCGGTAAGCTGCAGTGACAGCCGTCCGTGGCGCCCTTTAAGCTTATACGCCGCTATCCAGGGTCTATGCCGGTGTAACTTGCTTCTATGTTATCGCCGTGTAATGGATGGATGCCAAACACAGCGCCAGGCGGGGCAGGGCGACGAGCACGGCTCCGAGAGCCTGGCGGCACTGGTGCAGCGGGGCAACGAGGAAGAGAAGGACGACCGGATGGGGAGTGGCTGGATGTGGAACGGGAACCAAAACGAAAAAACACATGGAATGAACGACTTCTGCCTGAGGGTGGTGCTTACTGGGTGCCTTTGGAAAAAGAACATTTCAAATTGCATGTTGCAGGTGTGTTTTTGCTCCGGACACGCCTTACCGTCAAGGGGTCCGGGGGAATATTTTGCGTTTTTTCCGACTTTCGACTTGGTGACTTTGTCCCCCTCTCTCTCTCTCTCGTTCTTTGTCACTGGTTACGTGCGTCAAAGATTTGCGGCCCCAAAGTGTGGAAAGGACATGTGAACCATGTAGTCAGTGGGTTGATGAATGTTCAAAGACCTATTGGTCTATGCCAGGACCCACCACGATCAGTGTATTTGTTATGCACAATTTTTGCTGCTTACAACAGGTGGACCAGGAAACACAACCCTTGGAGGCTCCAGTGTTCTTGCCCTCGTCAAGACGAATTCGCCGCGTGTGAGGAGCGTGTGGAAGGTCAGTTTCGGGACCAGATCAACGCTCTGCAGTCACAAGTTTGGGGTCCATGCAACGGGGGTCTGTCTCAAGATGAAGGTGGGGTCGGGTCATAGAAAAAGATCCAACTGCCACTTCCCCGGAATGAAAGCGAAGTTTCGTTGATGACCATCGTGACTCCACGACGAGAGAACACAGGGCGGTCAGTGGCACCAGTGAACACCAATGGATGTGACACTATGAGGAGAGGCATTTCTGCTTGTGTCATAGCTGATATGCATACTGTTGGAACAAGAAATCCTGCACCAGATTTTTAATGTGAAAACCCACCAGGCGGACAATGGCGGACATCCCTTTTCTAAGGCTCAGATGCCTTCCTTCAGCAAGTGGACATGTTGTTCTTTCACCGCTGCCGACCGTTGACACAACCGCACCGCTTGCCCGAAACACGGGTTAACCGCTCTCCGATTTCACCCCCCACCTTAGGTGGAGCGCCTCACGCGGGAGCTGCGAGCCTCCAAGGATGAGCCGGGCCCTCCTTGTCCGGAGCGAGCGGTGGGAGCGTTGCAGCGAGCGTTGGTCGTCTCATGGGTACATCATGTGGCGATCCCATGGACCTGTGGCTTGGTCCATGTTCCGAAGACCAACCCAGGGACCGCCCATGTGAACTTGCAGGGGCATATTTTTAATATCATGGCTTGATTCACATAGCTGAGGTTCTTGCATGTGCTTTGCAGAGTTTTCTGAAGAGCCTTACCTCCACAGTGTGACCACACAGATCCATCACTGTTCATGGCTCGATAGCTAGCAGTGCTTTTTGTGGCTGTTCTTCGTCGGGTAATTGAAGAAGATGAACTTCCAGTGGTTGGAGGGGCACACGATGACGATAGGTTAGATGGGTGGGCCCAAAGTAGACCGGAAGCTTTAAACCTTGTGATCAAACTCAGCAGTCAGGCATGCAATAGTAACACACCACCACAGCCAATGGAATGACATGGAACATAACCGCTGCAGTGAGAACAATCCAAAAAGTATAATTCGTCTTCAGGTCTTCAGGTTCTTTCTGGAAGACTTCAAGACATAAATTATGTAAATATATTGATATTTTATCTTGATAGTGATTCAGGAACCTGAAGAAGTTAGCATAGGGCTGGTATAGGACTGGTAGAGCCATAGACCTGCACGGCTACACGTCTTCCAGCTTGTAACGCCCTAAAACGACCCCGGCTGTACTGAGGCTCCAAAGAGTCAAGGAGGACAACTCGAAGGGGTCGCTGTTGAGCACGGGCGACCGTGTCGGGGCAGATTTTCGAGGTGAAAAAAAGCGCAGGACCCATCCGATGGAGTCAAACAAACGCGCTGTGGGCTAAGCAGAGAGTGATTTCCAAGACATCGTCAACGTGGGTTCACTTTCCGACCTGTTTGGGGGATTCTGACCTCGGTTGACCTCGGTGTCTCTCTATTTTTACCTCCAGTGCAACGTGGCCGGACTGGGAACATTCGTGGGGCGTTGCATCTTTTACCAGCTAAAGAGGTCCCGAGACACGCAGTCCTTGTCCAATACGCCAGCTGAACGGGAGCCTTTTGCCACATGGGACCCCCACCGCCTTTCGACGCGCGGGACCTCGGCGCGTCGAACGAGAGTGGATGGGACCTCCTTTTTACTGTAAGATCCGCGCCTTGCGTGGATCTTCCTGGCTGCGCCCTGCTTCCCTTCTTTGATCTTCCAACCCAGAACTTCCAATGACTCATTTTAACCCACCTGGAAGTCCTAATTCACCACTACCATCGGACCGTCGGGGTCCGTTCATGAGTAATGACTGGACTCTCAGGGAAAGACTGCCCTTCATTTGGAGCTTGGGAGAGAGCTTTTTCATTTTGCAGTTCAAAAATCGATCCAAATCAATTTCATCCTTGGAGGATGAGATGCGGATGCGCAACGAGTGCGAGAAGTACAAGACGGATTTCGTGGGGGCCCCTGGCCAAGACGGAGTTCGGAGTGCGGCTGTGATACTTTTCTTGGGGAGAAAACGGAGTTCCGTGGGAGGGTTGAGGATGTTGCTTTCGGTGTGGGAGAAGAGCTAGATTCAAGATTTCACATCCATGTCTCGGCAAGACTGTCTGGATGGTTTCTGGCCCACAAGCCCGGATTCCGGAGCTGAGGGGCAGAATGAAGATCCAGTCTGCTTCACAGTGGGAGACCTCTCGTAGAGCTCACTAGAGGTCTCAATTGAAGCTAGGCGGTTCACTCGGTGATTCACGTTGTCATTTGATCTGAATGGTGTGCAACCTTCAGTTGAAAGCCACCATCATGGTGTGAGGTGGAACCAATCAATCAATCAATCAATCAATCTCTTTCTATATCTCTCTCTCTATTTACAGTATTTCTTTCTCGTTCTCCGTGGGCAACTAGATGTTAGTGCACACCCATCTCCACCGGGTTTGGCCCTCCTCTCAAGCAGAGGGCGACCCAACGGACGCCGCCGGGATTCTGCGATGCTTCCGCATCGCCGACCACATGGCTGCGCCGCGTCGCCACCGCGTCGGGTGGGAGTGACGCAGGAAGCCACGGAGAAGCACTACGAAGTGGAGCTCAAGAAGCGAGGCGATGCGGAGGTGCGCCCTTGGCGAGGGCCCAGCCGTGTGGTGGATGACTGATGTACGGGTTTTTGATTTATGGGGCGTCCTTGGAGCCGGTGAACCAAAATCGGATGAAGATTCGTCGAAGTGATCCCAAATGGTCGTACCAAAAGGTGAGGCATGGTGAGGCTAAAAGGGATCGTCCAACATGTGGACCGTCTCCGTTGAACAAATCATATTCTACTTGTGACTCCGTGGCACCGAAGGGGCTCCCTGGCGGCCACGAATATCCGAAGGGCTCGACATGAGATGAGAGGGCTCCGCAGCTGCTTAGGTTCAGGGAAGCATCGGGTCCGTAAGTATGTGAAAATGGAACAGTGTGAGCAAAGGTTTACTTGGTTATACACCTTCAGATTTCCTTGAGCACCTTAAAAGTACTTTTAGTTAAACTACTTTTAGAAGATCACGATATGGGTCCTACTTGAAGCCAAGTGACTCGCTCGAGCTAGGTGACCCTCTTTTTGTTTGCGCTCTGATGCACATCCACGAGGCAGGAATCTTTACCCCAAAAGACCCTCGGCGTGCTCCCTTGGTGCGGCTTCCAGGCACTGCTACCTAATCGAGATGGCCATGAGAGTTCCAGTGAGGCAGATGAACGGAAAGGTGATCCTTCTGGAAGTGACTTCCTGTGCGACGGTGCGAGAACTCAAGAGGCAGCTGAGAGGATGGCAGCCTTGCGAAGATGAGCTGACGCGGCAAATGACCACGGTGGATTTGGTCCTTGGTGAAGAGAAGCTCCTTGACAATGACGCAACCATCGAAGAGGCTGGAATCTCCGCAACTACTTCCGCACTGCAGGTGCTCTACAGCATCAATCCTGTTCAATGCTCCAGACAAGAGTCTAGTGAAGTTGATGAGGAGGATTTGCTGGTGGTCAGCATTCCTGAGTTGTCCACCTGCATTACTGAGTGCGCCTTCTTCCGGTGCAGCTTCTTGGTGAAGGTCCTCATTCCTGAGTCGGTGACAGAAATCGATGATTCTGCCTTTGAAGAGTGTGCCTCCTTGATCCTTGATTGGTGGACATTATGATCAAGTTTTCATGATTGTTCTCCTTCTTGGATGCCTCTCAAATAGGGGAAATTGGCGTAGCGCGGGAGACGACCTGGTCTCCTGTGTTTTTTGCAGATTTGATTCGTTGATTCGTTCATGTGAGGAGCTGCTTGACCCTGCCAGGGTCTTTGACCTTGATCGGAGACTCTGCCTTTGCAGGCTGCACATCGTTGACGAGCTTGAGCATCCCACAATCTGTGACGTACATGGGGCAATCTGCCTTCCAAGGGTGTAGCTCTTTAAAAGATCTCAACATCTCAGAGTCTTTGAATCTTGACCACCCGGATTGTTATTCTATTTTTCACTCTTGACACTCACGACTGGCTTGGTGATTTGCTACACAGTTCGCATATCATATATGCTATATATATAAGTATACACGCATTGTGTAACTGTGCACTGTGCACGATATATTATCATTTTCTAGCTTGCAATCTTTGTCCCAGAAAAAAAATATCAAGGACCCTTGCCGTCCGGCGTTTCCCAGCGGTTAAAGCCGCGGAGAAACCGCTCCGGTCTCAGGTCCGGATCCACGCACCGGATGGCCTCCAACCGAATAGCTTCTTCTCACTAGTAGCGTCCTTGCTCCTAGTAGTACGGCCAGGAGCCCCTCCAGGAGCCCCTAGTAGCTTCTGGTGACTAGTAGCTATATGTAGCGATGCCAGGAGCTACGCTCGTAGAAGGACGCTGCTACGTTCGTAAGTCGCGATGCCCTTGGCGAACGTGTCAGGAACGAGATCTCTCCTTCGGCTCTGAGGGACTGTAGCGCTCTGAAGCACTTGACCATCCCAGACTCGGTGCATGAGACGCTCGGGTGCATGACGCGGTGCGTTGAAGCCTTTCAATGATCCAAGCTGAAAACCGAGGAGGAGGAGGAGGAGGAATAGTTAGTATTGACACGTGTTGGTTTTTCTAAGCGGACTTGAATCCCATTCTTCTTTTTTCCTTCCGTATTCGGAGTGGAATTCCCAATCGAACACATGGTTTCTTTTTTGGTAGTGGTTTACAACTCACCAGCCACGATTGGATATTCCGCCTTCGAGGGTTGCAAATCTCTCAGCTCCTTCACGTTGCCGGCATCCGTGGCCGAAATCGGGCCCTGCGCCTTTGCGGAGTGCAGCTCTCTGAGGAATTTGGTGATTCCCGAAGGCACCCTTCAGGGCTCAAACGGGGCGATGGATCAAACGGGTGTACAAGTTTACACTCTCTGAAAGGCTCGATGGAAGTGCAGGCCCCCACCGATTTGTTGGTTCGCATGTTTCCACTTTTGATCGATTCTTGGAGAGAGTGTAACAACCCCCTTTCCTTCGGATGGGTTTCAGGCGGAAGATGTCTTATGGGGGCACGCCGGTTCACCGATGGGTTCGGTTTTCACCGAATCGAATCAACGGTCGACGGCCATTGGAGTGCAACGGTCGACTGTTGAGTCTCGAGATCTTACAGTTTATTGTACCAGGACCCTCGGACAGGTCACCAATTGAGACCTGTTAGGGTCCAACGACCCTCAACTACAGCCTGTTGGAGGGTGCTGGTAGAGGATTTCATGGTTTTTCCAGGCGCCATTTCCTCCATGATCATTCCGAGGTGTCGTCCTTTGACGACGAACATGGCCACGTGGGCTGCAGTCATGGCATTTCCGATCCGGTTGCTGGCCCCAAAGGGTTCACCTGCCTGAAGAAGAGGTCCAGTCAGGTAAACGCACAACAGCAACGAGGCGCTCATACCGGTCCTTGATCCTTTTCCCGAAATGAACCGGCTTGGAGGGCCACCCGACCAAGCTACCGAGCCCGAGCTTCCCCATTCAGTGTCCGGAGTACTGGCACTGAGAAGCAATGGCCTCCAACCTAAGAGCGATGGCCTCGCGATGGCCTCCAACCTAAGAGCGATGGCCTCCAACCTAAGAGCGATGGCCTCCAACCTAAGAGCGATGGCCTCCAACCTACTGGTACTGAGAGGCGTGCTTGAGATCTCACCTCACAGCTTCACCGCCTCCGGCTTGACGACCATCACACTCCCGGAGACCACGGAGTCGATTGGCGACTCCGCCTTCGAGGCCTGCAGGAGCTTGAGCGACCTGGTTTTGCTGATATCAGGTGATTTGGGAGTTCGTTAGGGGTAAAATCATTGTAAATCCCTTTCTGGGGATGATGAATATGTGTGTTTTTTTGTCTTCCTCCGGTTCCGGGACAGCACATCCAAGGTGAGGTGAGGATGTCGGACTGTGTGAGCGAGATTGGGGAGGGCGCCTTTGCCGCCTGCAGTGCCCTCGTGAGCTTGAAGCTCTCGAGGTCTGTGATGAAGATCGGAGGATCAGCCTTTGCAGGGTGCAGTGCTTTGTCCAGCTTGAGCATTCCAGACTCGGTGATACATCTTGGCCCATCTGCACTGGAAAACTGCACTTCTTTGGGCAGGCTGACTCTTCCTGATTCGATGGTGTTCATTTCTCCCTCCACCTTCGCTGGTTGCACTTCTTTGTTGAGCTTGACCATCCCAGACTCCGTGCTTGAGCTTGGAGAGTCTGCGTTTGAAGGTTGCATTGCACTGACAGATGTGAGGATCCCCAGGCATGTGAGAGAGATTGAAGAGTCTGTCTTCGCGGGCTGTCGTGCTTTGAAGAGCTTGACCATCCCGAACTCTGTGAGCAGGATAGGAGTATCTGCCTTTGCAGGCTGTAGTTCCTTGACCAACTTGACTCTCCCGAACTCCATCACTGAGATTCAAACAGCTGCCTTTGCAGGTTGCACTTCTTTGACAACATTGACCATCCCAGATGCTGTGGTCAAGCTGGGAACCTCTGCATTTGCAGGCTGCAGTGCCTTGACCACTTTGACCATTTCGAGCCCTGCAACTCGAATAGGACTTGCTGCATTTGCAGGCTGCAGTGCTTTGGGAAGTTTGAGCATTCCAAAGCCTCCGACTCAGATTGATCCATCTGCTTTCGCTGGCTGTCCTTCGCTTTGTCTTGCCGCCTTGCTCGATGGAAGCACTGAACGTTAGACCGATGCAGCCAGTTCTCCACAGATCAGTAGAAATCAAGGAGCATCACAAGTTGCATTTGGATAGTAAGAAATCAAGGTAAAGCAGAGGCAACGCTGAAAGGCTTCTGAGTGCACCCTGATTTTGGAGCTGAGCATGACAGCACAGGGCACAGGTTTGTTACCCGATTCCGACTCGAACAGATTGGCGGCCATATTTTATAAAGCTCACGAGTCAAGAAGGACATCGCCGACTTCGCCAAGACATATGTCGGCTCAGAAGAGAAAACAGCTGCGAGCTTTGTATGGAAGGAGCAGATATGTGCTGGAGCCGATCAAAAAGAAGGGGGCGAGGGCGGGCGAGCGCAGGATTGGGCCAGACGGGGGGAGAGGTAGGACGACCCGATGCTTTTATTCCGAGAGCTGAAACCAACACGGGTACGGGTGGGATGCATGCTGTGGGTCAAGCACCAAGCCAGAAGGGTCTGCTGGAAAGTCTCATCTTTCCAAAAGCTCCGACTCAAGGCCTCGCTAGGCCGACTGGGAGACCAAAAGGCAGATGCCTTAAAGGCTCGAACATGACGCTCCTTCTGCCCCCCTGCCCACACGATTGATTGCCCCCCATCGCGCAGGTGAAGTACTTGGATCAAGTCCGTGCTTGCGAGGCTCTTGAGGACGGGACGAGCGGACACGACCAACCGCCGCGAAGAAAGCTGCAGCAGACCGGCGAGGAGGCGGCAAGGAGGTCACCAAAGAGTGATCCCATGTCACAGTGTCCAATCTTTCGTGGCCATCTTTGGCCAGTTTACGACAGCACCCATATTGACAGTATCGGCTCTCAACATACTCAGTGTGTGTCACGGGGGACTTCGTATCACTCAGTTCACTTAATCAGAGGCAACTGAAGATACACTAACATGCACTATAGTAACCTAGTATTGTTTCGCTATGTCTGGTGCGGTCCTTTTGTCGGGTCGCTTCCACCGTTCCTCCGTTGGTCGTGGACGCACCGAGACCGCGATCCAGGAGAATCTCAACAAGAAGGAGGAAGAGAACTTGGTCGAAGCCTCAAGATGCAGGTCCTCCGAACTCAGCGACCCAGTCAGACTGGCCCCCGTGACTCCTTTAAGCCTCCACCGAGCGACCGGGCCCCAACATTCAGACGGGGTCGCGCCGGATTCAGCTGAAGGGGGGAAGGGGTTATAGGATGGAACTTCATGCTCACGAGGCGAATTGTGGTTTGGATCTGTGTGAGCATCGATGAAGATGAAGAAGATAGAGGGCTCGTCCGGATGAAAGGTCCGTCTATAGATCTGTCTATCGCCATCTTTAGCACCAAAAGGGAGCAGGTGACTAGCACTCAGCGCGTTCTGCGAGCACACCTCTTGCTGGGCGGTTCGATGGGCCGAGTGGCGCCGTCCACGCCACCCATCCCAACCTCGCCACCGCGACCGACGACCGCGACCGGGAGAGCTGAGCGACCTCAGCGAAGAAGCGAACTGAGGATCTCAAAGACCGGCTCTATGAGGTTCGGTGGGTGCACTGGTGGAGGGACGTGGGTTGAAGACAAGGACAGCGTGGTGTTTTTTTTTTTTTAATATATAGATCACAATAGATCCAAAGCACCCCAAGGTCAGAAGCACAAGCCAAGTGGCACAAAAGAATGACTCCTAGTCAACTACCAAAAGGCTATCGACTTTCCTTTACTTCTTTTCCGGGTCCAGTGCAGCTGCTTCCCGTGTCAACACCTGGGAGCCATGTTGTCTGGACCTGGCTCAGGAGTTGGCCGCCAACGCCAAAGTTCGGCAGGAGAGCGGGAGAGCCGCACGTGAGGAACGAGCGCTGGTGTTTTTTTCTGCGGGGGAGTCCAGGGGGCCGCAGCTCGGAGCGAAGAAAACGGGAGGCCACTCCAACCCCGACAGCTATAGGATACATATATACATAATATGTCATGTACTGTACAGTATATACGATGATATATGTCCCTTTTTGGCAGTGGTTTCATATTTTCACCGAATGGCGAGCTGCAAGTGTTCCAAAAAGGGTGCTTTCTTCAAGAAGGGCTCCAGGTCCAAGCCCGCAGCTAAGAAGGGTTCCGCGATCGCGCAACTGTTCCAAAAAGGGTTCGGGGTTAGGGACACCGGGAAAACGCAAGTAGACTCTGAGCTTTGTCGTCTTCTTGTTCCTCATTCTTCTTCGTTTTTTTTGGCTTTTTGCCACATCAGGTTTGTTGTCATTTGCATTCATGATTGGTGTTGGAATATGTTGGAAGATGCCGGAAGCATCGAGGGTACTGTCAGAAAAATTTCAAAGCCACAGGTCTTGTTACAGGTTCCTTTCTGTCGTTTCAGGGAGCAAAGTTACAAGTGCCTAAACAATCGAGAGGTTGCTATGGCTAATCATTAAACCTTTTCTCAAGTCTTTGCTTTATCAACAGAGTGAGAGCCATCAGCCAACGAGGGCGGTGGATTTCATCGTAGTTCATCTTTCAATTTTGCTCCAGCTGGGTGACCTGCCGCAAAATTGAACGTCCAGGAGAACGATATCCTCAGTGGCCAGAACAAGGCACGGCGGCTCGGAATCTTCAAGGCTGAAGCTATTTTTAAATATACCTGCAACATGAGTTTGTGAACCCATGGGTGTTGACAGGTTGACTCCTCCTTCTTCGCTTCGCAGGGTGTTGACGCCAGGACGTCGCCACAGGATGTGGGTCGCCACTCCTTGGACCATCCGTCGCATCGGCCCCCCACCGGCGGCCGGACGATGGCGGTCGTGCCGGACCGACAGGTGCTGGATGGGCAAGTGCAGTCGCTGCGGCAGCAGGTGCAGGAGGCCGTTGGGGATGACCGGCTGCTTGGAAGGTTCACAAAGGACCACGCACATGGAGGGGGCGACATATGCTACTGTAACACGAACCAAACGGTCAGAGACCAGCTGAGGCCCTGCAAGAGAAGGTGATATTGTTCTGCTCCTGTGGTTGAAGTCTTTCACCGGCAGGCCAGCATCTACAAGCAGCGGCTGGAACAGCAGGCCGTCCGCACAGTGCAGTTATCTTTCCGAGTCGACGATGCTCTTTCAAAGGGCGGCCTGACATGAGTCTTGGCTCCCCAAAGAGTGAAGTTCAATGAGAACTTGTCACCTGCCTCTGCCAGAATGGTGGACATCTCCGTATGTTGCGTTGATGAATCAACAGTCTACAGTCTGGGTGTACATGGAAAGTACGGGAAAATACATCGCTTTGATGATGGCTCACCAAGGCTGCAGTGCACCGCAGAGAAGAGCTGCTCCGACTGTTGAGCCTTGCTTCATTCCAGGGTGAACATGTTCTTTTCTCCAACGCAAAGGGCTCCCCTGATTCTTGAGAGATGATATACAGTCTATCATCAGAAGAACTAGGCACCAGAACTTCCACAGATTTGGTCGATCTCAGTTGATCTCGTCTATGTTCCCATGTCTTCTCTGTGCCCCTACAAAAAACACCACAACAGACCTCTCCGTCTTTTTAAGTTTCTCTGAACCCAGCCCCTGGCGGGTGTGAACTGCACCCCCTCGCGGGCGCTGACAGGTGGGTCTCCTGAAGCAGCAGATGGAGCAGACCATGGCGAAGACCTCTGAGCTGCAGGAGCGATTCGACACTGAATAACCCTCAAAGACTGTTTTTCTCTACAAACCAGTGGCTTCTCAGGGTCTATAGATGTCTATAGTTTTCAGTGGGGTAGTGTCCCGCCCAGACCGGCGGGCTTCTCGCGAGCTGATGGCCGTCCGGGGGGTGGGATCTGTCCGGTGATCTGTGGGATCTGTCGAAAAAATGATGTTTTGGAATAGCTCTAGAGTGACCCCCTACTTGGACACAAAAAGAAAAGAGGACACATATTGTTTGTTTTGGGCTCCTCAGAATTCGTGTCCATCGCCTGCTTGATGCTCGTATGCAACAACAATCCGACCCTGCCGGATTGGTTTGCCTGCGAAGCCGGAGACGCCGGAGAGGTTGGGTGGAAACCGGGCGAACTTGGCGAGTTTTGATGATTTTTTTCATTGGAATGGAGGCATCGGAATGGTTTACGACATGGATTGCCCATGTCTTTTTTACCACCCATATGAATCCCCTTCCACCGATAGAAAAGTGGAAAAGCGGTCCCCGGGTCATGCTTTTAAATAGGTACTGGGGTACTACGGACTTGTGTAGTCCAAGCACTTCCAAACACCACCCCAACGTCACACCAGCGCCTCTGGGTGGCCGGTTGGTCCGATGCCGCCCACCCGCGTTGGGCGGATCTCGCGCGGATCGGCCCTGCTGGCGGTCAACGTTGAGTCAAGGACCAGCTGGATATTGAGCAAGAAGCCAACAAGAAGTGCGCGAACTCAGAAATCGAACTCGGAACAAGAGTGGCACGAGCTGGCTTGTAAATGTGGGAGTTGGAAGATTCCACGTGGCACTGGTGGGTAGCACTGATTGTATGGTGGGTGAAGACTGTGTCTAGTTGTGCTGCATTGTGAGTGGATGGTAGGGGAGTTGGGTTGCTTGGGTTGCTTGGATTGGGTCTGTCGTATCCGGTCGTGTCCGGTGGCTTCGGGCCTTTTCAATATGTAGGGGGATGTGATGGGATGTGAAGTACGAGCTGGAAAGGGCTCGCCACCGGTCCCCAGTTCGCATTCGCATTCGTGTGTTCTCCATCCATCCAAAGCAATTCAGGACCCATTTGGTGTGCTTCCATCCAACCGTCCAACCATCCTCCTCGGTGGATCCCCGGTCGTTCGGATCACCGGGTTCAGGCTCACGGAGCAGATCTCGGTGGAGCAGCGCCAGTGCCGGCGCATGGAGCGAGAGCTGGAGGTGCGACCGAGGGAGGTGAGATGGGGTGAGTTCTGAAACGGTGAAGAAAGGGAACAGGGTGAGTTGTTGAAAGAGAGGCCCTGCCTTTCTTTTTTTTAAAGGAGTCGAAACTAGATATCAATGGAACATGAGGACCAGGCCTTTCTGAAGTAGTTCTAGGGACGGGGGTCGATGCATTCGTCATTCGCACAAAATGGTGCGAGCACGGACTGGACCACCCAGCAGTTTGTTCACTCCACTTCCTGGTGGATTTTTGAAGCTATTTCAGAATGCCCTGCAAGCCGACAGACGTGATCACAGCACCGGACATGACGCCGGTGACATATTGTTTGTGTGCTTCTCCCACGCAGGTGTCTTTCTTTTGGCCACCACCATCGGTCATGTGGAGGTGGTGTTGGGTAGAATGAGTGGAACATGCGAGTTTCGTCATGCCGTGTGTCCTTCCCATGGCGTTTCATGCCCAGGATGAGCAGCACATGCGCAAGGACGCTGCTCGACCGGGTTCCGCTCGTCGTCGCGGCCGAGGTCGGGCAGCTTGCTGTGGAGCTGAAAGAGGGGAATATCCAAATCCCGCAAGCCATATCCAACCGGATCTCCAAGTCAGCTTCCTCGTGCCCACCTCACATCTCCTTGCACGTAGTCGGCCAAGGGCAGCAGTCAATGTGAAGGCAAAGCAACTTTGGACACAGAAGATCCACTCGAGAGGTGGTCTTTGGAGGGCACATCCTTTGATGTCCAGTCTGAATTGACAAGTCACTTCCAAAGTGTTTGGGAGGTGTTTCCATCATTTTCCACCCAACAGTGAGACCGGTGAGACCTGAACACTTGGGATCGACGCGTCGCTTTCGGAGCCTCGCTTTCTCGGCCCGGCCGGGACGACCGGGGGCGGCGGGAGGAGATGGAGAACGAGCGGAACCTGCTGCGGGAGAAGCTCTCGCGCCTGGAGAAGCAAGAACTCACGCTCATCGAGGACGGTGCTGGTACAAATTCAGGGGGTGGGTGTGGCGCTTGGGGCGCGCCACTTCTGGTTTGTTGGGTTTGGTTTTTTCTTCAATCAAGGTGGATGCAGAGGTGTTTTTTGTACCGTGATGTCTCTCGGTGGCATCTCTCAGCTAGCCAGGTGCGACTCTGGGTACTGTCGATCGTCGATGTAGAATAAAATTGATCGGTCAATTGCAGCACCCTTTTAAACCAAAAACATGCAACAAAACTGATAGGTCTTCCGGTGTACTTTCGCCCGCGCTTGTCCCCGGTTCAACCGTGTAGGATCGTGTAGGAGGAGGGAGAGGGTTGTAATGAGTTTTAAAGAAGCGCAACTCACTTTTGTTTGGCCAGTAAAAGGTCTGGAATCCGGAAATGCCATGAAATGCAAGGATTTCTTTAGCATTCGTCATGCTCCAGATTGATCCAAGTAGTGAGTGAAGATGCCTTGGGGGGCGATCTACTTTGGCCCTTCATGACCCCAAAACAGCGCCCACACCACGACCTTCGCGAATCCGGCTTCTTCCGTGAGGAGCGGCGAAACCTGCAGAAGCAGCTGAACGACCTCAGCCTCAACCATCGCGCTGCGCAGATTGAGCTCCAACGGAAGGCCCCCCCGAACTGGCGGTTGTCGAAGTATGGAAGTATGGCATGGTGGGCATAAGGTGGCAGAGTAGTATGACACGTCACAAAGGGTGTATGCCCATCTCTTTCTGTTGGTCTTTCTATTTTTTAAATGACGCGTCTGATAGAAAACGCTTGGCATCATAGTTCCTCTTGATAACGACATCGGCGATTTCCTGCAACCGACTTTGTGATGGGTGGTGGAACTTCTGGCGGAATCCCGACATCTGAAGTCGTTCTCCACCTCGGCTCGCACGACTGGGTCACCCGGCTCCGATCACCGACCGATCACGGAGACGGGGAGTCCTGTTGGACGATGGTTGGACGATGGGAGTCCTGGGTGGTGCTTCCACTAGGCCTAGGCGAGGCGATGGTTGTGCTTGTGCGCTTGACTCAGTTGAGCTTTTGAAGCTCGGGTGTCTTCCTTTTCAACTCCCAAAGTGACAATTCGACAAGTCATTCTCTTACCGAAGAAGTACGTTTTAAATGGATTCTTGGCCCACGAAAGGATCGCTTGAATGCTTGGAAAGCTTGGATGCTGGGTCTGATTCACCAGAGCCGAAGCCATTCAAGAACAGCCAATTTGGTGCAATATGGATCAATATGGTGTATAATATGGGATATGTTTGCTGTGAAGTTAGAGTCTTTGCCCGGTCTATATCACCTTGGCAATCCTTTCCACCTTTAAATCTTATCATCTTATCCGTCTTCTCTCCAGTTGCCACCTGATTCACACCAGTAGCAAGACGCTACTAGGGGCTCCTGGCATCGCTGCTAGGAGCGATCGGACGCTACTAGGGGCTCCTGGCCGTACTACTAGGAACAAGGGACGCTACATAGTTACAAGAAGCTACTGGAAGTCTCGTTCCTCCAGGCCGAGCACCTGGAGCGGACCGAGAAGAACTTGCAGACGTTGCAGGAGCCGAAGACGAGCGGCTCGGAGCGTGCGCGGGTCGCACGACGTCACTCGGGGGTCAACGGAGGAAGTGATTCTCGTTCATAACGCCCGTCCTCCGTTCAGGGGGCACCTTTTTTTCGCTGTTTCCAAGGGGGGTAATTACTTGTTCAATCTTGTTCGGGGTTCTAAAACAGCCGATCTTGGAGGGTTCCAGCATGTTCCAGCACATGCCGCGTGAAGACACATGTTCCAGCACACGACCCACTCAAGTATCCAAGTGCTTCCAACTTCCCCCCCCGCAAGAAATGACACTCACTCCACGGCCACGGTCACACCCCCTGCCATCGCGCTTCAACACGTCGCCCCGGCGCGACGCGGTCGGAACGCGGGAACGCGGTCGGAACGGCAGGAGAACCACCAGGAACTCCAAGATGCCCACCGTGCCATGGGCGTCGAGGTGGATCACCTGCGCGAGGCCGGATGACGGATGGCGTTCAGTCGGGCACGCAAAGGGGAGGTGGGGGTGGTTGTGGCGGCCGGAGGAAAGGCGATTGAAAGGGGCGGGTTGGAAGAAAGCCAAGCTCAGTGGGGTCCGGGGACTGATGAAAGTTTGATATAGGGTGCCGTGAGTGATGAAAAGTGGTTTGAAAGAGATCCCCAGCGACTTCTTGGGTGCATGGCTTCAATCAGGGCATGGTTGGAGAATGTTGGAGAAGAGGTTATAGAGGTTGGGCAAGCCTCACCTCACATCACCTAACGACCTGACTGTGAGGGTACTGGTAGATAGATGTCCCCAACGTTTGCCACGCCTGTTTTTTGTTTGTTTTTCTTTGTTCATGATGTTCATACCAAGAATGCACCAACAGTGACATCTCCATGTCGCTCGAGCCAGTCCAAGGTCAAACCATGCGTCACGATGAAGAACACCCTAACTCATCCCTGGTGGTCTAAACCGCAAGAGATTCTTTCTATCTGACGTTTCCTCCCAGCACCCGACCGTCTAGTGTGCCTCCGCACTTTCCGACCTAGAATGCCCCCTCCCCCCGCCCTTTTGCCTCTTGGCTCTTTCTTTTTGGGTGCCCCTCCAAGGTGCTCCCCCCTTGGGGTGCTCCTTCCTGGGCGCCCGAACGGACGACCGCAGGACGTGGCCCGAATGGACGACCAGCTCCACCGGGAGGCGCGGAGCCGGACCCCGATGGCGCAGGAAAGAAACGGACCCACATGGCTAGGGTTTGGGCCAAGATGATGTTCTGTCACTTGGGAAGTTCTTTAATTTTTGTCTTGGCCTTTCTGCTTTTAACTGTGGCCATGCTTGTTTTGTGGAGGGTCAAGATCTGGAAACGAATTGAGGTTGTTGAAGCAGTTCTCCATAATGTATATAGTTCATCCTAATTACAGTACCGGATCCGTCCTCAGTGAATGATTCGTAGGTCGTCGTTTGAGTATGTTGAAGTTTGTGCACGAGATTTCACAGACTGAGCATGGATTCGGCCAGAACACACGAGAACTCCAGATAGCCCCAGATGCCTTGGTTTCGGCCACTCGGGCACTGTGCCACATCTTGCGTGTTGTAAGCATGACATTGTGGTGAGTGTGTAGAAAGCAATTCGGATGACAGCTTCTTAGCATGTTTCTCTGACCAAGGACCTTAAAGTCCAACTCACTTGCATCACCTTAGGTGCACAATCTCCCCCGGACAGTAAGAGAGCAGCACCTTGAATGGTGACCCTCCCAGATGGGGTTTATGTACATTTGGAATCATTTGTATTGGAACAATGAGTCAGCCTTTGGTCAACGTCCGAAACCGTCCCAAAGCCGAAGACCTCGAGCAATTTTCCGTGACAAAAGACATGGGCGCCGCGGCTTGTCGTCCGCGCCTCTCTTTCGCCTTCCAGACGACCCTGCGGAAGAGCCTGCAAGAGGAGAAGAAGACTTTGATGGCTCAGGTGCCGGAAAGACGACAGACAGACGACCAGCGACTCTTCTCCCGTCCACCGCGCGGGCGTCGTTGGTTCTCTCCAAGCCGTGGCTCCCGCGTCCGATGCCGGGGCAAGCCGATTCGCGGGATGCGATGTGTTTCTTTTGTGTCGTACCAGGTGTGAGACGTGCGAGACCGACGGGGTGAGCCAAAAGGCTTTAATAGGGGCCAAGAGCAAGAGTCAATGACATGAAATAGAGGAGAAATCATACGTCATCATTATTATGCATATACGGTATTCATGTGCATCCCCTAGTGGTCCTGGAGAACATCGGGTGTTTTTCTCCTGTATCTAAGAATTGTTATAAGGTTCTTAAATCTAAATGTGATCGACTTACTCTGAATTCTCCCGTCCCCTGTATCAGCAAAAACATGCCGTTTCTCATGGTCTCCCAACGAACCCCGTGTATCGAAGCGCAGTTCAGCCGAACCACCGACTCCGCCGACTTCACTCCACTCCACTCTCCGCTCTTCTCCTCGGCAGTTCACTGAGGTGCAGAACCTGGTGGTGCAACTCGAGACCACACGCCTGGCCGTGTCGAAGCTCAGCCGGCGGGCCAGAAGCGGAGAGGAGGTCCTGCAGTGGTGGCGCCACCCATCTAGGGGGGGAAGGACGGACGAGTCAGAAGCCATTTAAAACATCCCAAAACCCAAAACCCCGCCAGCCTTCTCCACCTGACCGGCCTTTGTATACAATTGCAACTGGTTCAGTATTGTACACTCCACACGTATCTCAATTGTCACCCCTGGCACTGCAGGGTGTGACCCGCTGGGAGAATTTTGGAGTGCCCAGAAACTGGGACACCCGTGAATGATTGATGATCCAGACATCGCAAACTGGAGAGTTCCCGAAATTCGGGGGGTCATAGGCTCAACCGTCACCGGTCACCGGTCTAATCAAACACCGGAGGGGTCGTTCGTTGACGAAGGTGCACGCATGGGTGAAGGATGCCCTACTGTGTCGCTGCTGGAAACCGATTGCCGCTACATTCTGTGAGCCCTATTTCCCGCAACTTCAGGTATGTATATACATATATAATATATATAAACCTGGAACCCAGACCGTTTGACCTCTGTTTTGATACGATGCTGCGATATCACTCAAGATCGCTACATATTGCTACAAACAAGGACGGGTTCGGATCCTCCCACAATGTAAACGCCAGCAGTCTGGAACTAGACAGGAGTGTCCCTTAATCCCTTCTTATTTGTCAATGTTTTTGCGTCGATTTCGAGATCCGCGCAAGGAGTAGCTGAGTAGCCGTTGCAATGGAATATACCAAATTTAAGTGTTCACCTGGTTTACCATGCGACTAAACACAGTGCGTGGTGATACAGATGAACAGCGATGGCTTGGTCCACTTTTGCAATAATGAAGCGCTCGTACCAGGAGGCGACTTACCCCTTTGTTGAAAATTGATGCGTTTCAATCGCTTTTTTGAGATCAACAGAACTCCACCAGGGTCGTTTTGCAAAGGTGTACATACAAATCGAGGCGACCAACAGGAAGTTGAACTAATTAGTCAGTCATACGTTGCGGTTACCAAGAAAGTGCTATGGAAGACGCGCGGCTATTGAATGCAACCAATATACAGATTTTTAAGTTGCGTCACAGACCTGAACCTATGCCCATGCCTTGCAGTGTTCGCGACCAGTTTGTATTGCACAGCATGCCCTAGAAAGCTATACGCAGCAGATGGCAGCAGTGCTCGCTTTTTGTTTGCTTTACTGTTCAATCTTTCTAGATCGCTCTACTTTTCCATATTTTTTTCTAGACATTTCTACTTGTTTGCCATTCTCTAGATAATATATATATATCTGTCCTTAAGCACTGCTTAGTTGTTCCTTTTCCTTGAGATCTGCGCAGTCCTTTGTGCAGACTCTTGAAGTCCGCCTTCACGGCCGCTATCTTTGGAGACTCTCAAGACATGCTCTTTTTCTACAAATGCGTCAAATCTCAGCAGAATCCATGCGTTGTCATCTTTTCTTTGGAACAACCAAGTCTCTTGCTTTTCCATCGTTTCCGTGAGAACCTGGCAAAAGACGACCTGGGAGAAAAAGATACAGTTTCTGCATGCTTCTGCTCCATTCTTCTCATGTTTGCTCCGTGCACCTTCCTTTCCTTCGCGAGGTGGATTCCACCCAGCGCGAGCTGGTCGATGTGACCGATCACAAGGCGGCGGCGCGATGTCACCGTTTGGGAGCTGGGAAGGTTGATCAACAGCATGGCTCAGCTGAGGAGTCATGTACCAGCAGTTCCATGTCACAATGGTTTTGAGTCCCATCCTCTGAGTGGATGCACCCTTATCCTCCAGTTCGGCGCCCCGACAGGTGACTCCTGGTACCAACACCTTTTCCGGGTTTTGGGTGGTGATTGGAGGGAAACCATGGAACATATTTTGAGTTTGGGGCGCCTAGAAACCACCCTTTCCGTGCTGGTAGACTTGTTGATTTTATTTCAACCGCCCGTACACTCCAAATGAGGGGGTTTGGTCAAACATGACGTCGGAAAAAGTGATATTGTTCTGGGATCCAGCAGGCCTATACTGGTATTATTGCACTGCAACTGGAATCCCCGTTCCCCAAACACATCGAGATGAACATCAGACCCTCGGAATCTAAGCAGCGTTCAGGATTTCAGGTGGGCAAGCCGCTTAAACCAGCCACAGGACCTCTTGGGGACCACCCCAACCACCTCGGTTGGAGGTTGGTGGGGTCGTGTTGAGCTCGTTTGGGTGCTCGGCTCAGGTGCGCTTGGAGGGCATTTTGCGTGATACCAAGTCCGCACGCTTAGTGCGGACTTGGGAGAGCTTAGACAGAGCTCGAACGAAAGGAGCTTCGGGACGGTGATGCGGTGTCCCAAAGCGGGGTTTTGTAGCCGCCTCAGAGAAAGCACTGAAAAGACCAGCAGCCTTTAGATCTATTAATGATATTATAAGATATCATCAAGATTCATCAAGTGTCTACATTGACCTCTTCACCCAACGAACACCCGGCAGCATAAATCGATGGAAAATTTCGCCACGAAAAACGGCAAGCATTGCTCCAGTCCAAAAAGAAGGCACTTCATGTTCTTGGACTGTCCAAACTCCCCTTCCTCAAGTCTGTCCATCTCCAAAAGCAGATCCGAACCGATCCGGCCGACGCGACTCTTCGTCCGTGCGACTCGTCGTGCCGCCGCTGGGGCGACTGCGGGTGTCGTGAGGGGCGGGTGTCGCCGCGCTCGCCTGCGCGGGGGGACGGGGACTAAAAGAGTCGATGGGATAGGGCACAGAAGCACTGGGATTTGCGACGAGGGTGCTCGACTGGAGATGGCGACTTTGGGGATGCTGAGATGCTTGTGTAGCATCAAGGCCTTGAGAAGCACGCACGGCCAATGATGGCCAAAGCAAAGTCGATGTGAAATTGCTTGTCACATGGCCTGTTCGGAGGGACGAAAAGACCTGTGCATTCAAGAAGGTCCAAATACTGCTTGAAGTCAAGGCGCTGATGTATCATCCATACAGCCCCTACTGCAAGGGGAACCCATTCAGCTAAAGCGAGTTGTCTAACCTCCTTCTCAGTAGAAGCAGTTTCCTTCCTGCCTTTGCAAGGTCCGCCATGCAGAAGGTCACGCTCGAGCAGCAAATTGAGCAGAAGTCCCACGCCCAGCGGACGGCGATGTTGGAGAAGGCGGACCGTTTGAGAGGTGAAGAGATGGAACTGAACTGTATATTCTGATAGGATCCACACGACGAGGGATCCATTTGAACAGCGATTTGGCAATTTGTGTTTTTATATTTTCGTGGGCTCCCATTCACAGATTCAAAATGGTGGGAAGACAAGTGAAGGATAGTCAAGGTATAACTTGTGCCGATAGTGGAATCTATAATGATCAATTCACCACGAACACAGCCAGAAGATTCATGACTCAGAACAAGCGTTGTTGGGTTTGCTGATACAGCGATCCCAAACTCGCACGGAACTCCGAGCGAGGAACTGAGAAAAAGACATCCGTGGTGAGCTGCTGCCAAATTGCTTTCCGAAGTCAACTCGATCTTTCGTGTCTTTCCGCTCCTGTCCACGTTTTGTCCATTGACAACCATGCTCATATATACAGTTTGCCCTTCATTACGGTCTTAGAATATGGGCTCAGATGCCAGATACACACCGCACACTTTCTCCAGGACTTTATTTCATCCCTGAGCTCCTTCGAGGATTAGGAGCCATCCGCCACAAGTCAGGGGCGGTCAAATCAACAAGCACCGGGCCAGCCCCAAACAAGAAGATGGGCCATCTCGACATGACATCTTCCATCATCTTCCGCCTCTGCTCCTGGCACACTTAGTACCTGAAACTTCCCCACAACAAACCGGCAGAAGCGCTTGTGGCTCCCCCACGCGCGTTCGAGCTCCCCGACACCATCGAACCGAACCCCCCTGGGGGGCCGACGAGCGCGGAGGATCCGCGCGCGTGCGGTAGCGGCAGGTGATCTCCGATGAGCGCGCGGAGCGGCGGAACCTGGTGAACGAGACGCTGGAGGCCCCACGGAGGGTGGTTCCGAGGTTTGCCCGAAAGCCATTCAATGGCGGTGGGAGAGTGAAGTGGGACGACGGGGACGCGGGAGGGAGGGATGGAGGCGGATGGAAGGTTCGAGAACTGGAAGCTTTTCCAAATGCCACCATGGTGACTTCCAGCATGGAAGGTTTGTGTTGGAGCAGAACAGCCCCCAAAGGCGGAGTGCCGACATGGCTGGGTCCCGACGTGGCTGGGATCCAAGAAGGACCATAGATGCAACTAGACTGCTAAAAGCTGCCAAATACCAATCCAGCTTGCAAGGTGGCTGGGGTGTGTTCTCTATCGGATTGGTCCTCAATTAGGTCAGGTCACTTGGTATTTTGTTGCGAACCCCTCTCTGAGACTGGATTCTCTCAGAGCCTCTTCCCAGCGTGCCGCAGGTGAACTCCCAGCGTGCCGATACATTAGACTGCCTTCGGCGAGCACAGAACGAGGCGGGAGGAGCCATGGATGGCTCGTTGTTCTGAGATCACAAAGGTTGTGACCAAGCATTTGGTGGTAGCCAGGCAATCATGCGCAGAAATCAATGTGGCTGTGAGTCAACACCGAAGAGCCTGGGGGAAACTATTTTCAAAAGTACATTTCTTTCTTTCATGGTCGAGTTTTCTTGGGGCCCGTGTCCAGAATTTCTTCCTGGCACTGTTGGGCGGCCCTTGGGGTCTCTCCTCCGCGCATGACTGTTGGGCGCCCGACGTCAGATCACAGAGATCAAGCGCCAGCGCTTGGAGTATGAGGAGGAGATTGAGCGGCAAAAGGTGATGCGCCTTGGTGATAATCTTGGAGACCTCATACTACGTGAGGCACCACGAAAGTGTTCAGGTTCGATCAGTCCCATAGTATCGTTGATCGACTCGTATCACTGTAGTATACTCCCAGGTCCCAGATCAAAGCCTCATGACACGTGAAAGAATTCTGGGACCCATCCAGAATCCAGTCCTTCTGGCCAAATGGATGGAAATGGTAGTTCAACATCATGGAACTCGAGTGGTTCCTGGATGTTCCTGGGATGGAGACTTTGGGCTGTCTGCTTCCATGCCGATAGTTGTGCGAGTGTCAAACAGATCGGACTGACGACATCTGATCCAAGCCCTGCATTGTGCAAGATGCCTTGGCAGGGCTTGGCCAACGTGTCATACAAGCTCATCAACTCTCCAGCAAGTTCTCCTTTTCCGTCGGATCTGGGGACCTTTGGCAATTTTTGGGGTGGAATCCCTGCGGTTCGTGAAGCCAAGGTGGCCATGACCTCTTATCTTCAACTTTTACATCAGATGTGCAGATTTGGCTTTTGGACTCCTGAAACAGATCCTGTGGTACCACCCATCCCAGCAGAAAAGGGTTTGGTGAGGAACTGCGTACTTCCTGGACCCAAAGACCAACCTCTGGCGTCTGCAACCATCTGGATTCATTGGGGTCATTTGGAGAGAACCTCCGTTGAGAGCAGACATCCCAAGAAAGAACACCAAGTCACCAAGACTGGCGACACACTGGGCGTACCTGGCTACTGGCGACCAGCACTCGTGGCTGGCGACCGCTCTCCTCGTGCGGACTCGTGCCGAGGATCGCAGCCCAAGAGCAGCGCATCGCCGAGCAACTGGTGACGGTGGGGGGGTTGGCGGGGCGAGGGAGCGGTGGGGCCCTGGTCTCTCTGGGGCCCTGGAAATCAGGAGCTCGGTGGTTTTTGGGAAGGCACCCCCCAAAATCTTCTTAAGTGAGATGGGTTTTTGTTGTTTTTTTGGCAGTGACAGGGGATTTGGCCACTCACTTTGAAGGGGGTTCAGGCAGACTTATAGATTATTTAAGGGCTGCCGCCCCTGCCGCCGACCCCGGGACTCATCAAGGAGGAGGAGTACTGCAGCTTGCACTCGCCAAAAAGCTATGGTTCAGGTGACTTTCCTTCATGCACCATGGAAGTGAACCTGTTTGTAGACGATGGTCCTCTAAATCCATGTTGGCCATGCCACCCACTTCCAGGATTGTTTCAGGGACAGCAGGAGTGGTTATGGAGCTGTTCTGCAACTTTGGCCCAGACGCTGCGCCAGTCCAAAAAAGGCTGCGACATCTCAGACTTGAGAATTGCAGGCTTCGGTCACAGTGCAAGTGCATATAGCAACATGATGCAACATGCAGGAGTGGCAGCCAGACCAGTGGCAAACGGATAGATTTGCACGGATTTGCAGATTGAGGGCACTATCAAAAACATTCAACCACTACTTATACATACACTCCTGCACGAATCTTTAGGTTCAGGATGTTGCAGGTGTGTTTGTGTAGATAGGAGCCCATATAGGCCATATAAGAATAAACCAAGCATATATGATATGACTCCAATCCAGTTTGGCGAATCATGGGAATCCTAGTCCAGTCCAAGTGGTGGATCATGTCCAGAAGCAATGCCTTCAGGCGGCTTCACTTGTTTCACGCCTCAAAGACGGCGCCCCTCTTGGACGTTTGGGACCTAGATTCAAAGAGTTAAGAGGCACGTTCGCATCCTCAACCTCCACACCGGCTCTTTCCACCGCCCGGTTCCAAGAACTCCAGTCTGGTGGGCCCATGTCTGCGACTTTGCCAGCTGGTGTGCATTGTATGTACTAGCATGTATAGTTCTTTGCGCATTGGCGCTACCCAGTTGGATCCTCATCCAATGGGTTTTAGTGATGTCTAATTTCGGATGCAGCATTCATTGCCGAGATTTGCCAAGCCCATATGGCCATGGGATATAAAGTTTAACAAGAATGTAGAACCTCACTGGAGTGACCAGGAGACTTCCCCAGTTACTGAAACGACTCGGTGGCTCGTGGAGAAAGGACAGAAAAACATACAGCACCCCAACAAATTGAAGCGATGAAGCGGATGAAGAGAGGACCGGTAAGCAACATTCTGCACATGGGCCACTTGGAGAAGACCAGTGCGTAACTGGGTCGGCTATTTTACAGCTTTCGCCATGGCCTGTGTGGCGACTTTGAATGGCTTCTTCCGAGAGGAAGTGCCTTGGCCTTGCATCGAAAAGGGACATAGATTTGGGAGAGCCCGCAACCAGCGAGTGTTAGTCTATTCGTCCTTTTCCCGAGTTCTTTGGTAGGTCTTCCTGCTTTTTTTGCGTAGGTAGCCATAATGGCCTCTTTGCTCATTGCGACATGGCACGGCTGTAGGCTGTTTGTTTTTATAAGCCTTTGATCCGGGAGATACACACGCGTTTGTTTGATCCCTCCCCACATCCATCGCTCTTCACGCATCTTGACCATGTCATGCGTCGATCTTCACCACGGGGAGCGCGTCTACATGGACCCTCATCGACCACATGATGCACGTCTTTTTGACGGTGTACAGTCTACAGTGTACAGCAAAAGGTGGCAACTATAGGCCAATAAAAGGCTTCTTTCACAAGGGAGCGCTGTAACAAACAAGGTGCTGATTGTCATGATGTTTGTCGCGGACACCCAAGCAGCATCAGGAATATCAGTATCAGCTTAACAAAAAGGTGGTTATTCTTTTTTGTATCAGCATCAGTTCCTGCGCTTAACAAAAAGGTGGTTAACGAGACCAGTACACCATCTTTCTCCGCCGACGCTCTTCCGGAGAAAACGGGAAACAAGTGTGCGATGCGCGTCACACTACACGCATCCAGACCGTCCAACGCAAACGCGTCGCCGCCAAGACCCACGCGCGTGTAGCGTCGCTGCGCCAACGAATCCACCGAGAACACATCCTGCAAGAAATCAAAGACCTCATCGCCAGTCACGTCCACGAACGCAAACGTCTGGCTCCGACGGACTCCGGCGCACAGGAAGCCAACGCCGCAAAGCGCCCCAAACAAAGCACAAGTGTCGTGGCACCACACGCATCGTCCATCGAGCCACTGCCGAGCACAGTCCCGCACAGTCGTCGTCAAACAAAACGCCAAGCCACGACAGAGACTCACCCCAAACCAGAATCCAAACAAGGAAAACAAACCACGTCAAGCGCGCAGCCACGCGCGCCAACGCATGGCCACGCATTCAATCCGGAGGTGCCCGAGGCGAAGCCAGGGAATCAGGTCAGAGGGGAGCCGACAAGGCTGTATGACTACGTCTGCCCACGCTGCAAATGTCCATGCCGCAGTGGGGTCCAAACTGGCCGAGTCCACCATCGAGGAAAGTGCGGCCACAAATTTCGTGTCTTGGACGGTGCAGTTGCTGGTCGCCAACACGAGCACACTTGTCCACGATGTGGTGCGCGAGTCTTGTCAGCCAAGCCCAATGGACGAATTCAAGTCCAACACCGCACACCCAACGGCAAGGCTTGTTCTTGTCAGGCATGGAATGTTGCAGCATAAAAACATGGCGCGTTCTGTGCCGGACGACCAGACAGAATCGTCATCCCCAATCGAGCCTTGCTTTGTACTCCTGGCGTTTATACTTCTCAATGCGCTCGTAGCCGCACTACTGCAAAAGCACACAACTCGGGGAGGGCCAAACCCCAGAAGCCCCATCGTTGTCGTGGAGGTCGTGGGAACACCTGGTCCCGCCACAGCTTTTCCCAATCTAATTCTGATCCAAAACGAGCCTCCCATGGTCGCACTTTGGGTGCCAAACGCTGCCTCTGAATCCCTAGAAAAAAACAAGTTTGTTTCTATTTGTCTCGGTCATCTTGGCCCCGGACACCTGGTCCCGCCACAGCTTTTCCCAATCTAATTCTGGTCCAAAACCAGCCTCCCATGGTTGCACTTTGGGTGCCAGACGCTGCCTCTGAATCCCTAGAAAAAACAAGTTTGTTTCCATTTGTCTCGGTCATCTTGGCCCCGAACATCCAAAACGAGCCTCCCATGGTCGCACTTTGGGTGCCAAACGCCGCCTCTGAATCCCTAGAAAAAAAGAAGTTTGTTTCCATTTGTCTCGGTCATCTTGGCCCCGGACACCTGGTCCCGCCACAGCTTTTCCCAATCTAATTCTGGTCCAAAACCAGCCTCCCATGGTCGCACTTTGGGTGCCAAACGCTGCCTCTGAATCCCTAGAAAAAAAAGTTTGTTTCCATTTGTCTCGGTCATCTTGGCCCCGAACATCCAAAACGAGCCTCCCATGGCACTTTGGGTGCCAAACGCTGCCTCTGAATCCCTAGGAAAAAAAATCCCCGTGGGAATTACCCTTACAGAATCAAGGAGGTTGACCCCTGG